TTTATATGTTGGGGGGGGCAGGAGTTTCTCTTGAGCTCACAGGGTCTCAGTTGCCTTTAATGAAAAATAATCCGCATACCACAGAGGCACATCTTGGGGTGGTTCTTTCTGAACCCTTACAGTCCTCACCTCTGAAACTTCCCTGGAAGTTTGTAGACTGTTGGTAGACTGTTCTATTGCTCACTAAACCAGTCTCCGTCTTAAGTTCAGTTAAACAGTGGCAGTAATGCCAGTGGGCTCTCAAAGTTAAACCTAGGCTGCAAGCAATCAGGTATTTAATAAGAAGTATCTCGCCCTGGCTGGTTTGGCTTAGCAGTTGGAGCATTGGCCAGTAGACCAGAGAGTCCTGGGTTCGATTCCTGCTAAGGACACATACCTCGGTTGCAGTTTGTCCCCAGCCCAGGTTGGGGTCATGTGGGTGACAACCACTTGATGTTTTTCTCTCTCTCTTTCTCCCTCTCTCCCTCCCACTCTATCTGAAGATAAATGCAAAATGGTCCTCAGGTGAGTATAAAAAAAAAAAAAAAGAGGCATCTCTATGGAAATAAAAGAAAAACAAAGGTTAATGAGTTCTGAAGGCAAGATTTCTGGATGTCTGTCTTGAATCATCTTCAGATGGGGTGAAGGCAGGCAATCTGATAGATTATTTTGGTCTGCAGTTTGAATGTTTCTGGTGATCTTTCTGCAACAGACACAAAGATTGTCCATACGTGAGTTGCTGTGGTGATTTCTCTAAAGTTATATCAAGTCATTCCACTTTAGTTTGCATGGCTTTGGGAAAGGGGCAGTGTTAGTTCTCCAAAATTCCAACCTAAAGGATAGGAGAACAACTGGAAACGTTAGTATATTGCAGGAAACTAGAATTCAGGATTCAGTCCAGTTTACAAGTTGGAAAAAAACTCAAAAGATAGTACAAATATATGGTGATGGAAGGAGAGTAGACTCTGGGTGGTGGGCACACAATGCAGTGTACAGATGGTGTATTATGGAATTGTACACTTGAAATATATCATGTCATTAACCAATGTCACTCCAATACATTTATTTTTTTCCAGTTGTCTGTTGCCTTTAATTAACATCGATGTTCCTCTCTCTCTTTCCCTCCCTCCCTCCCTCCCACTCTATCTAAGATAAATGGAAAAATATCCTTGGATGAGGATTTTAAAAAAACACCACTTATTCTGCTTGAATCCAGTTTTTCCATTAGTTCTCTCAACCTTGCCTGATGATTGAGGGCGATAGAGTCAGTGATAATTCTGAGAAGTGTGCAAGGCTGTCTGTCAGGGCTTGTATGATGTGCTCAGTGAAGTGGGTGCTTCAATCACTAGAGATCGTGGAAGGTAGACCCCAAGTAGGAAACACATTTTCTAACAGTTTCTTTGCCATTGTGAGGGAATCAGCCTTGAGGCAGGGGAAAACATACAACAACAAAAACGTATTGATAACCAGACTAAGTGTCAGTTGAATGAAGTTCAGCTTAAATGCACTATAGTGGATGAAAGAACACAAAAACAAAAAAATAAAGGGGGGGGGTCCCATAGACCTGACTATTCATTTAATTTACAGCCATTATTTGCCCATACAATGTACTCTAAATGTTTATCATTACTTCTTTTACAATGCTTCTCATGCAATACCAAATAAGCCTGATTAGTTTAATATTTATTTTTGTAAGGAGAGAAAACATATCTTTTGAGTTTGGTGCCCTTTTGAAATACCTCAAAGTTATTCCTATATCAAGACCTTATAATTTGAATTTTGAGCAGTTCGTCAAAATATATAAGAAGGTTTGGACATTTGACCAAATAGGATCATAAGTCATTATAAAATAATATTAATTATCCATTTAACCAAAGTGACAATAAAAGATTTTAAGACATACTATTTTTAATTCCTTCAAGAATGTATTTTCATACCTTACACCCTTTTTTACTGAGAACATATATTACTTCATTGCATTCAAAGTTGTTTCCTTTATTCCTAGTAGTTTTAATACATATACTGTATTGGAATTTCAACCCTTAAAAACTAAAATGTAAGCAATTGTGGGATCTGATGCTATCTCCAGATAGTGTCAGAACTGAATTAAATTGTAGGACGCCCACCCAGCTGGTGTTACAGAGAATTGCTCTTGATGTGGGAAAACACACACACACACATTTGGTGTCAAGTGTTGTGAGTGTGGTAGCAATGTGAGTCAAAAGGAGAAACACAGGAGGAAGATTGAGTTTTTTCTAAAATATTTGTGTATATATAATGTAATACCTAGAGCAACCACTAAAAAATCTACATAAAGAGATACACTCACAAACACTATATAGATAAATCAAAAAGGAATTCAAACAAGGAAAGATAAAATATGTTATACCTTTATTTTTATGCAAAGTAAATTAATTTACTGATCAATTTCACTAAATTGCAACAAATTTTGTAATTTCTTTTCATTTGCTTTTTTAAAAAATTGAGGTGCAGTATGCCCAGCTGGTGTGGCTCAGTGGATTGAGATTTGTCCCATGGACTGAGAGGTCCCTGTTTGATTTCTGGTCAGGGCACATGCCTGGGTTTCCAGCTCAATCCCCAGTAGGGGGCGTGCAGGAGGCAGCCGATAGATGTTTCTTTCTCACATCAATGTTTCTATCTCTCTCTCCCTTCCTCTCTCTAAAAAGTCAATAAAAACATATTTTTTCTAAAAAAAAAAAAAAAAGTAAATAGACTAAAAAGTACAGTATAAGACAGTAACCTTAGAACACATGACTTGGTGTTAAACCACTGAAATGTTTTTTTTTAAATAACAGTTAGCCTACCTTGACAAACATCAGCTACACATGTTTCTCATGCTTCCTTTCCCTGCTTCTCCACAGTTGAATTTACTAGGGAATTACTTGCGAGACTCCTTTAGTGACCTTGCAAAAAAGTATTAAACCTTCTGGGAGAAACTTGCCAACTGCTAAGTCTAAGTTCTTTTCATTAACTGCCCTTTTTTGCTGATACAGTCTATTGAACTTTTGAGGCTTGTTAGTATTTTGAAGTCCAACACTGATTGCTTAAAGAATCACCCCTTGCTGTTTTTACAGGGTCATGATCAAGATAACTTGTCACTTCATATCCCAGTTGACTTCTAGGTAAATGACAAATACACAGATTCCAATTTCTACTGAGGTGCCAAACTTCGTAACAGAGTTAAGTTGATGCTGTGATCTGACAGAGCAAAGTGGTAATAAAAATTTTGAAATTATGTCACCACACTATTTATCCCTAATAATTTCATATTCAAAAAATTAAGTACATTTTGGTGTCTTTTTTTTTTTTTTCCTTTCTATGACTCTATATTGTGAGACTCATGGGCTTACACAGGTTCTTAACCTTTTTTTGTGCCAAAGACCCTTTGTAATTCTGATAAATCTAATGGACCTCTTATTACTATAATGTTTTTAAAATGAATAAAGTACATAGGATTAAAAACAACAATTAAAATAGTTATAAAATATTTTTAAATGTTATAGTAATATGTGTCTCTATTGACACATTAAATAACAAGATCTAGCAGTGGGTCTAATAATTACTGCAATTTGAAGTAGTGATGAGTGGAAATGACATTTTGAGATCACTAACAATTATTGTGAAATGAAAATATCTGGGGTTTCTATCAGTGACAAAAATCACAAGTATTGCTAATACTAATTGGTTTGCTGCCTACATTCATAATCAAGAGAAATGTTAACTTATAATGAGAAGTAAATGAAACTAAAGATGAAACTACTTTTTATCCATGGAGCCCAGGTTAAGAACTCTAGGATGAGAAGTGACCCCCAAGCAGTGTTTATTTCTGAGTGGTGAAAATACGGGTGGCTTAAATTTTTCGTCTTTTCTGTATTTTTCAAAATTTCCACAGTAACCAAACGTGTTTTACAATAATAAAATACATCACATATTTTCCAAAATGAGAGGGGTGTATTATTGCTTGGTAAGATTCAGGATACACAAATTGGAAAAACAAAGCAATATTTGAAGAAAATCCTTTAGGGGGAAAAAAGGAAAACAAAATCTGGTATGAAGATGGAGAAACTTAACCTCACTTTCATCAGAGAGACAAAGCTGGCGAGACTGTTACGTGATTTATCTTTATACACAAAGGGATCAATTCTTTAATACATGATGCTGCCTCAGGCCTGAAGCACCATAACTCTTTAACGGGTCACCCTGCCATTCTTGAACCACATCCTTAGGAGGAAGAGAGAAACCACAGGCCACAATTACTCATGAGTTTATTAATTTTATTATCCATTCGTTCTTCGTCTTCCACTTTCGCTTACCTCCCAGCTAGGACTTGTCCGCCTACTCATTGCTCCTCGAAGTGGTTTGGGAGAAAGAACTCCCAGGCAGTGAAGCCTAAACTCCTTCCCGGCCCTACAACACCCTCCTGGCTCTGACCCTCACCTACCTCCCCAACGTCCAACTGCATTCCTCAGCCTCTCTGATCTTTCGATTCCTGATCCTCCTTCGGGCAAATTCCTCCTCCAGTCCTTGTAGCCCGGTGTCTTCCTCGGAGAGGCTTTCCTGACGGCTGAAAGTCCCGAGCCCTCCCCGCCGGTCCTATTACTGCAACAGCACGCTCTGAAATTATTTCCAGGTTTCTCTTACCAGGAAGGAAGCTACTTGAAGGCAAGGCCCTTGTCGAATTGTTCACCGCGGCACCCTCAGCACCTGAAACTACCTGAATGAATGAGAATGAATGAACACCTGTGGACTGTCTCCTTGGGATGTACTCCGGCTTAGAAATCAGTTTATCAAGAAACAAAGCACGTCGATCGCGGTTTTCTGCTGTCCGCTGAGTTGCTGGTCCCCTAGGAGGATCTGAAGTACACAATCCTAGTACCCCAACCGAGCAGGAGCGCGAGAGAGCACCCGCAAGACCGCTCTGCGGGCTCTCCGCGTGGAACTGAGGCTGCGCAGAGCGGGAGGGGGCGTGGCCAAGCCGGTCTCCGGAAGTGGGTCCAGAGCCGGCGAGAGGACGCGGGCTGGTAGCTCGGCGGGCGGCTAGAGCGGCCAGCCCGGCGGGGTGGGTGCCATCCGGCATGGAGGACGAGCTGAGCTTCTCGGACATCTACGGCGGCCGCCTGGCCCTGCAGCGCCGCTACTACTCCCCGTCCTGCCGAGAGTTCTGCCTCAGCTGCCCTCGGCTCTCGCTGCGCTCGCTCACCGCTGTCACCTGCACCGTGTGGCTGGCGGCCTACGGGCTCTTCACCCTCTGCGAGGTAATGGCCGGTCCGCCCTTTCCCGCCGTCGGTGGGGGACTCTAGTTTGGAAGGGTCTCTGGGGTCTTGGGATCGAGCCCGGACTCTTGCCAGACCTTCCTAGTCGTAGGCTGGAGGGCAGGAACTCGCGGGCTCTGGGGACGCCATGCCGCTGCTGGACAGCTCTTTCAATGACGTTTAGTGAAGTCTGTGCCCCTGTACTTGGTCCCTCTCCTGGATCGCTGCTGTGCTCTGCTGCCACCCAGCATACATCCAGCCCTTGCCCGACAGCCTGAAACTTGGCTGCCACATGCTTTACGTAGTGCCTGCTCACAGTACTTCAATTCCAAGGGTCCAGGGAACGATTAGGCGGATCGTCCTCACCCATCACTTCCACTCCTCAGGGGAATCGCTGCTAACAGTGCCTCATATGTTGTTTCTCGGGAACTGTCTTTGTTTCCACTGTGTGTTTGTGCAGCGTGTGTACACACACACCCACGTTAAGAGCTTGATATTGATAGTTCTTTCTAATCTCTGTTTTTTCAAGGCAGTCTCCTCCCAACCTCTTCCCCAACTTCAAGTACTTTCTAAAGAATTGTGACATTTCAGAGATGGGTGGTTTCTATGCAAATTTCCAGACTCATTACTATTCTCTGAGCCTCAGTTTTCACATTTCTAAAATGGAATTAATACCTGCCATTGCAGCTTCATGGTACTGTGAGGGTTACATGCAGTAGGTTTGTGACAGCCCTCAAATAAAAGGAATCATCCTAATTGCCATTTTCAGTTTCATATGTAGTGCCCTGAATTGAATATATTATTCCAGGAGTGATCTGGTCAGAGCTAAATACATCAGGGCTATTTATTTCTATAATTTGGATATTGGTTCCATTACTGCATCTTTTACTGCATCCATTAGAACATAGATATATGTATAATTAGGACTGCCTTAATTTGTACCAAATTGTATCTAAAAGTTTGTTCATAAATAAGTTGAAATTGCTAAGTTGCCAGGACAGCCCTGCCCCCCCCCCCCCAAAGATTTAATTTATAATGTAGTTGAATTTTAATACTAGCCTGAGTTCTGGCCATGTGGTCATGTGAGGAGGAGGGAACAGATACTTATTAAATGCCCACTGATTTACTGAATGCCTCCTTGCAACCTTAGAAGAAAATCAAGGCCCAGAAAGAGTAATAACATTCAGTCACCAAGTTAGTAGATAGCATACCTGGGCTTCAAACCCTGGGCTGTCTGACTCTAAAACCCTTTTTTTTCCACGAAACTATGATGTATTCTCCTTGGGAAGGGGGGTTTGCTTAGGCAAAATTTTTAAGTAGAGAAGTTTGTTTTTTATGTCAGCTCTCTTTTGTACTCACTTCTCTCATCATGGTACCACTTAGCCCCATCAAGTGCCCAGGACTCAGTAACCTCATCTACCAAAATTTCGTCTCTTTCCTCCTACTCAAAACTTCTTGTCAGAGTATAATGAATCTCAGCTAGGAGTGAGAAGAAATATGACAAAAGAATTCATTAAAACATGGCTTAACTTCAACCTAAATGAATACTGAATTGTTAGAAAAAGGAAGTATTAAAAATATAGGTAGTAAAGTTTTAGGCAGAGATTACCTTCTTGTAAAGCTATTATGAATCAAATTCTCTAAGCATCCTTTCTCCCAGTTTTTGAATTCACTGTTCTGTTAAAATTTCAGGTTTTTACCTTATTTATTCCAACTTAGAATGTTGTCCTTTCCCCCTTCCTTTTCTCAACTAAGTGTACAAGCAAGAACCACCACCTCCTTTGCACCAATTAAATCTTGCTTCCTTGGAAGTCTTCATGGGACATTCCTGTATGCTTTAACCTGTCTCCCTACCCCCCCCCACCCCCAATCCTTTCTTAGGCACTTATAGTTAGTATCATAGTACTCTCCAAAAATATTTTATATATGAATTAATTTTGCCCCTCATAAATGTCTAAAAGCCAGGACTGCGTTTTATTTCTCTCCGTCCTTCCATAATGCTTATTCAGTGAAAACTGTGTGAAAGACACTGTACTAGTTACTAGGCATTTAATTACCTCGAAGTAGATATTTCTGGAACATCAGACACCCAGCACAGAGATTTCTTCATCCTCCATTCGTTAATCAACAAATAGTTATCTAGCACAGAGGCCAGCAAACTTTTTCTTCAAAAAACCAAATAGTAAGTATTTTAGGTTTTACAGGTCTCTGTCTCATGTTCTTCTGTTTCTTTTTCTTTCCTCTTCTTCTTCTTCCTCTTCCCTGTTCTCTTCCCCTTCTCCTTCCCCTTCTTTTTTAACAACCCTTTAAAACATGTAAAAACCATTCTTAGCTCAAGGTGGACCAGACAAAAATAGATCACAGGCCCAAATAATTTGCAGATCCCTGGTCTAACAGGTAGTATATGTGAGGTAGAAAGAAAAAAGATACTTTATTTTTGTTAAAATTTTTATTTATTTATTTTAGAGAGAGAGAAGCATCGATCCATTGTCCCACTTATTTATGCATTCATTAGTTGTTTCTTGTATGTGCCTTGACTAGAGATCGAACCCGCAACCTTGGCATATCTAGAAGGATACTTTCAAAGAAAATCAGAGCCAGTCAGTAGTTTAAGTGGTAAAAATAGATTTTATTCAAAGACTACTGCAGTAGGAGAAAAGAAACCTTAGTATATAACTGGGCTCAATTCTAAATACAGTACAGACAAGTCGGAATTTATAGCCTAAGAGCAGGGTGAGGGTCAGTGGGTGGGAAACTACTAAAAGGAAACATCAGGAGTGAAGGAGGATTCTGGCTAAACTGACTTGACAGGATTATTGCTGAAGACAGGCTAGGGTGACCTAATACTTAGGGTGGGGGTTCTCTCTAAACTGACCTAGCAAGATTCTCATTACAACCGGGCAATGCAGGCCCAACAAGGATGGATGCCAAGGTCAGGGGCTTAGAGGGGCTTGACTAGAGTTAGGTCAATTAGGGCATGTTATCAGTAGACACTTCCTGCCCTCAAGGAATGACAGCCATAAATTACTGAATCTCTTTTGATTTCAGGTCAATGATTTTTTTCCTGTGCCATCATTCTATATAATACCTTTGTGGAAAAAAGAAAACAATGCCACATGAAAGGAACACACATCAATAGAAAAACACATATCAGCTTCAGAAATGATAAAGGTTGTACCAGTGTCTTAGAAGCAAAGGAATAAATACCACTTTGAGCCCTAAACATATCAGTTAGTCACAACCCCAAACAAGTAAAAGACCCCTAAATGACAATATCTTAATCATTTAACAAAAGAAGAAGTCAGGAGGTAGGGTGACTCTAGAGGTCACAAGAGGCACAGTAGACAGTACACAGTACTTGTCTCAGGCCAGCTTTCCACATGGTCTGACAGAGTCCATAGTAGTTCCAGACATCAAAACCTCAGGATATATGGACCTTATCTCCCTTAGATCTCTCTCTCTCTTTTTTTTATCCTCACCACCCGAGGACATTTTTGCATTTATCTTCAGATAGAGCGGGGTGGGGGTGGGGGGACGAGAGAGAAACATCGATGTGTGAGGTAGGTGTCCTTAGCAGGAACCGAACCTGGGACTCTCTGGTCTGCAGGCTGACGCTCTAACCACTGAGAAAAACTGTCCAGGGCTCCCTTAGATCTCTTTTTAAGATGGACTTAGTTTTCAAGAAGACCCTCCAACAGATCTCCCCTCACATCTCATTGACCAGAGCTGTCATGTGTCCATTTCCAAACCAGTCATTGGCAGGAGTGGGAACCAGTCATGATTCATTCCAAGTTCTGTTAGGAAGGAGAAGTGGTTGTTGAATAGTATCTATTACACTGTGCTAAGCATTTTACTGTTGCTCAGTCTATGATTTTGCACTATATATTCTGAGGGAGTGTGAGGAAAAGCTCTGCGTCATTACGTTGCAATTTTGGAAGAAAAATCTCAGTGGTGCGATGGTAGATATTTTGCTGATGGGGGTTCTCTTCCACAGACTTATCCATTTGTTGTCTGGATGTATTTAATCATATGCTTTCATAGGTCTACAGAACACAAATAAAAGTGATTTCCTCTTCCTCCATGTATGTTCCTCTCATCCGTTCAACTCACAGCAGAACAAAGGTTTTTCCCGGCATTGCCTAGAGTTGACTTACTGAACATCAATACATATATGCAGAAGACCACTTGGTAATCTTACTGCCTTTGTCTGGCTCTCTCTTCAGAACAGCATGATCCTTTCTGCTGCCATCTTCATCACCCTCTTAGGCCTGCTTGGTTACCTCCATTTTGTGAAGATTGATCAGGAGACTCTGTTAATCATTGATTCCCTTGGCATCCAGATGACTTCATCCTATGCCTCTGGCAAAGAAAGCACCACCTTCATTGAGATGGGCAAGGTGAAGGATGTTATCATTAATGAGGCTATTTACATGGTAAGTATGTGAGTGGTATCACAGGCCTCTCTGGAGGAGGTAGCCCTTGGAGTGTGCCTGGATCCAAACTGTTTTAATACCTAAAACATTAGATGTCAAAAATTAAATTTGAGGACTCTCTGTTCCAGTATTTGTAGTGTTTCCTTTTGGGCTGGTATGTCTAAAAACTGTGAAAGTGAAACTTATATTGAAAAAAGATATCTCCCATTATTTTATTTATTTAATTTTTAAAGAGAGGAAAGGGGAGAGAGAGACATCAATTTGTTATGTATGCATTCATTGTTTGATTCTTGTATGTGCCCTTGAACAGGGATTGGATAGATCTACAACCTTGGCATATAGGGATGACACTCTAACCAACTGAGCTACCCAGCCAGGGTATCCCTTTATTTTTAAAGAGACACAGCAGATTTTCGTGGATAGGGAGTCAGCACTTCAAATTTATTATTTTTTAATCTTTGTTGTTTGAGTATTATAAATGTTCCCTATTTCCTGCCCTTGTTCTCCTCCTCTCAGATCCTTCCCCACCACAGTCCTTCACCACCCTATTGTTTTTGTTCATGGGCTATGTATATATGCATACAAGTTCTTTGGTTATCCATTCTGCGCCCCCCCCTTCCCCTACCCTCTGAGATTTGTCAGTCTGTTCCATATTTCCATGCCTCTGTTTCTATTTTATTCATCAGTTTACTTTGTTTATTAGATTCCATATATAAGTGAGATCATGTGATATTTGTCTTTCTATGACTGGCTTATTTCACTTAGTGTAATACTCTCCAGGTCCCTCCATGCTGTCTCAAAGGATAATAGGTCCTTTTTTTTTTTACAGCTGCATAGTATTCCATTGTGTAGATGTAACATGGCTTTTTTATCCACGCATTTAGTGATGGGCACTTGGGCTGTTTCTAGATCTTAGCTATTGTAAATAGTGCTGCTATGAACATAAGTGTGCATATATTCTTTCTGATTGGTGTTTTGGGATTCTTAGGATATAGTCCTACTAGTGGAATCAATGTGTCAAATGGCAGTTCCATTTTTAATTTATTGAGGAACCTCCATACTGTTTTCCATAGGGCCTGCACCAGTCTGCATTCCCACCAGCAGTGTACTAGAGTCCCCTTTTCTCCATACCCTTGCCAGTACTTGTTTATTGATGGCAGCCATTCTAACAGGTGTGAGGTGGTACCTCATTGTCATTTTAATTTGCATCTCTCTGAAGATTAGTGACATTGAGCATTTTTTCATCTGTCTCTTGGCCATCTGCATGTCCTATTTTAAGAAGTGTCTATTTAGGTCCTCAGCCCATTTTTCAATTGGATTGGCTTCCTTTTGTTAGCTCAGCTTCATAATCATCTCTGATTGTTATTGTTGCTGTTTTGTCTTTTTTCATTTAAAGCATAAGAATATACTTCTCCCCCACTTCAAAAGCTACCAAGTGTTCTACTTAGAGATAACCATTTGTGAAAAAGTTTTAGCCTTCCCTTGAAAACAACAAAATGAATTTCACTTAGATCTCTGCTATCTGGTGTATTTTTTTACAGCAGAAGGTGATTTACTACCTCTGCATTTTATTGAATGATCCAGTGGAACCACATGGGATATCCCAAGTAGTACCTGTCTTCCAGGTGAGCACAGAACACTTTGCTTCACTTTCTCCAATGAAATCCTCTACCTTCCTATCCCTCTCTGCATATCTACTGCTACTTCTGTTCAGTAGCAATGTAAACTTTTGTTGTCAGGAACATTTGAGGGTACCTGACAGCGATTTTTAGTGAGAATTAGGATTTTAGTTATTTCAGAAGCTCCTTTCTGAGGCAAGTATGGGCTTTCAGAAATACTATGAATTTATACAAATTTTAGAGGAAAAAAAAATATATCAACTTCTGCCTTTAAATCATTATTCATCTCCTTTGACTGTCAGCCTACCAATATGATATTACGTAGAAGTTACTAATGTACACATACTGTTATACACTGTTTTGTATTTTGCTTTTTAAATCTGACATGCATATTTTCATGCATCTACAAAGGCCACTACACTTATTATTTTAATTACATCATCATGTGGAGTATCAGTTTAGGCACTCTATTGCAAGCTTTTGAAATCACATCCAGGTTATTTTTTGGTTTGCTCTTATAAAAAAACAACACTTATATAGCCCTGGCCAGTTTGGCTCAGCGGTTAGAGCGTCGGCCTGCGGACTAGAGTCCTGGGTTCAGTTCCCGCTAAGGGTGCGTACCTCAGTTGCAGTTTTTCCCCGGCCCCAGTTGGGGTCATGTGGGTGGTAGCCATTCAGTGTGTCTCTTTCACATCAATGTTTCTCTCTCTCTTCCTCCCTTTTTCCCTCCTGCTCTATCTAAAGATGAATGCAAGAAAAATGTCCTCGGGTGAGGATAAAAAAAAAATTAAGAAACAAAACACTTATATAAATATAGTTTTAATAAATTACTTTATAGGTGTGTGATTTATGTATGTAGTTAACTCTGCCTCACTGCCCTGTCTCCTTTTTTTTTTTTTTATCCTCACCTGAGGACATTTTTTTTTCTTTTTGTTCAGATAGAGCAGGAGGAAGAGAGAGAGAGAAACATCGAGTGGCTGCCACCCACATGACCCAACCAGGCCCGGGGACAAACTACAACCAAAGTACATGCCCTTAGCGGGAAACAAACCCCAGTCTCTCTGGACCGTAGGCCGACGCTCTAACCGCTAAGCCAAACCGGCCAGCTCACTGCCCTGTTTCTTAAAGGAGTTAAGGCAGCTAAGTTAAAATTCTTTAGCACTGTAGTTCAAAATTATTTTATTAAAGCTTATGAATAGCTGCATAGATTTTTACAGTGTTTGAAATTTCACTTCAGAGACTGAACAACTTTACTATACTTTGGGGAATTTGTACTTGTTTTTCTAGTTTTGGCTAACAGTGGATGTAGCTATATTTTAGCTTAGTACGTAAAGGAATTTAAAGTTTTAAAATTTGTATCTCTTTAAATGACAGGGACTTTTCATATTTCCTTGTATCTACCTATTAGTATTTCCTCTTATTTTAAACTATCCATATCTCTTTTATTAGTCAAGCAGAATCTAGATATTGGTTATGCATTTGTAACAAACTTTTTTATGCATTTGGTAGCAAACTTTTATTTAAAGTGCTTTCCAAATATCTTTCTCCCATTCTGTGATTTCTCTTTTAATTCTGTTATTTTACATTGTATTATACACAGCATTTTTCAATATTTACATGTTAAACTGCCTTCTTGTCTCTGAGGACTGTTTCCCAGCATGTGACACTCCCAGGAGGGTCTCCTTACTCTTCCTGCTTGCTCTTAGATGGAGATCATGAAATTTTACAGATTAAAAACTGTCTTTCGAGATCCTGCTTCGCACATTTCACAGGCTGGGCCATGGGCCTAGTTAGGGACTCTTCCAGCAAGGTGCTGTGAGGCCTGAACTTCTGCCTTTCTGAGGCACACCTTGATGTGGGAGAGAGATTGAGGGTACGCATGGATGCAGCACTCCTAAGACTCTCTTAGGTTCGTCTTGACTGTGCATTTCTCCTCTTTGGACTTCAGAGTGCCAAGCCCCGGCTGGACTGCTTGATTGAAGTGTACAGGAGCTGCCAGGAGATCCTGGCACACCGGAAAGCCACACCCACAAGCTCCTGAGTCCCAGCGTTCAGAAGGCCAGTACTGTCTTCCATGGGAAATGACTCCCAAGCCCTAGGGCCGATGTATTTTCTGTATCCTAAACCATCATGTGGACATGGTCCGAGGAACCAGGACGGACGCAGTGGACATCAGAGCCACAGAGCAGGTGACTGGAAACCCAAATCATTGTGTGATGTTGAACCAAGTATTCCTGTGTGTCAGTGCTCCCCCTGTAAGGTAGTGCCTACTTTACCAACAGAGGGGAGACCTTAAGAAATGATATGCAAAGGTAATGTCGACAAAGACCACTTTGTGAATTTCATATGCACATTCAAGTTTACTTTTTGTTGAAATTTGTGGAGCAAGCCAATGGGATGCTGCTATCAGATCTCTTGAGAAAGACAATTTCCAACTGTATAAAAGTTAAGTACCCCCGTATAAAAGTTCAGGAAAAAAAGCAAGCCCTTCAGGTACTGGGTTGGCAGGAAGAAATGGCCTACAAAAGACTAGTCTCTGTCCCCCAGCTCCTGTGTTTGTATAGGGTTAATTTATGATGATTCTCTCAATAAACAGATCTCCTTCCTAAACATGCACCATAACTGCCTGGTTCACAGATAGCTGCTTTCATCAACAAATGTGAACGTGGCATTTCAGCCATGGGTGAAGCACATTCATACTTCTGTTACTCAGCACTGTGTACAGTTTCAAAAACGTTTGCCAGGAGGGACAAGACAAAAGGCCAGACAGAAATTCGACTTTGGTTTCCAGACATCTTAAAGGAGGATAAACATTGCAACTGTAGAAGCCTTTATTTATAAGGCAGTTTCTTCTGTATTAAACTGATAAATTAAGGGAGGATTCCTGAAAGGCCGGGAAGGAGACAGGGAGGGTGAAATAGCTTGACCCACAGATTCAGTATGAACACAGCTCCATTCTTCCTTATTCTTTGGGATCCTTTTTTTCTTTTTAACTCCCAGGTAGATAGTATTATCCTCATGGGTCTTAGAGACACTCAAGGTATCACAAAACCAAAGTTGTCACTTCTGCCTTTTACACCAGCCCTGGGGGTTCTTCAGGAGCCGGTGGTGCACGTGACGCGCTGACCCTGTTTGAGGTAGAGATGTCCCGACTAGATCCCAAATGCTAGGGGAAGGCAGGAGCAGAAATGGAAGACAGCCATAGAACTGCCGCCTCGCAAAGGCAAGTTCATTTAAAAGAGGCAGACACTCTGATATGCTTCTTTTTCTTTTTTTCCCACACCCAAGGATGTTTTTCCATTGCTTTGTATAAAAGACAGAGTGGAGGGAAGGGAGGGGGAGAGAGAGAGAGAGAAACATGGATGAGAGAGAGAGAGAAACATGGATGCGAGAGAGACACATCAATTGGTTGCCTCCTGCACGACCATGACTAAGGCCAGGGACTGAACTTGCAACCCAAGTGTGTGCCCTTGATCAGGAATCAAACCCTAGACCCTTTGGTCCACAGGCCAATGCTCTAACCGCTGACCCAGACTGGTCAGGGCTGATGTGCTTCTTTTTCATCATGTTTGTTAGTTTAAACCGATGAGAGGGAGGAAAGGTACAGCAGCTGAGGTGCTCACATAAACTAGATCCAGCTGTGCAGTTCTGCAGTCTGCAACTCACTCACTCACTCACTCACTCACTCACTCACTGTTGGGGTTAAAGGCTTGCTTCTTGGCTGCTACTACTAAAACCATACAGTTTTCAGCACTTTATTGACAAATGGTAAGACTGCCTTTGAGCTGTGAAATAAACTCAGTTTCCAGTGTTGGAAAGTCAGAGTACCAGTGACTCTTTCGTCTTTCTGTTAGAGGGGCAGTGGGGGATACTGGCATGGTTAGGAAGGCAAGAGGTGAAAGCAACGTTCCATTTCTTTCACCTGATGCTCTCAGGCTAGGACAGCTATCATGCCTTCAACTAATTCCCAGCGGAAGTTCGCCAGAAGTCTTGAGGAGCGAATCCAGGCCCAGAAGCCCCGAGGGTCTTCTGTTTCTGACTCATCTTTGGTGGCTCACAGGGCAGCAAAAAGCACAAAGCATTTGCTTGGTCTTTCAAAGAGCAGCGAAAAGTGCCGACCGCCTCGTCCCACAGCAGGGAGTACGGCCTCACGGGGCCTGTTCAGTAGTAAAGGAGACACGGAAGGCCAGGTGAGGCGGCCCTGCCTCAGCCTGCACGCAGCTGGGCGCGCTCCAGTGAGGGAGACCAGCTTCTCCAGCAGGCACAGCTCCCTGTCCCGCAGAGGGAGCTGCTGCCCCACAAGAGCGCTGCAAACCGCCTCCTCATCTGCAGCAGGGGGAGGGCAAGGTGATCTATTCCTGTTCTCCAGCCTTGCCAACACCTTTCCCGTCTGGGAAAGAAGTCTAGTTTTAGTGAGTTCTAGGCTTCTGTCAGAGTTCAGGTGAACTGGAAATATTAGTCCTATTCAGGGATGCTGGGAAAACTTCAAGTATAAATCCCCACGTAAGGGCCGTACACAATATAAAAATTATTAGCCTCCCTGAGGGTATCTGGGGAAAACTGTGACTTACAGCACTGACACCCTCAGTAACCAGTCATGTCCCTGTCTGGCAGGGTGGGGAACGTCTGGCCTGCGGGCTGTGTAAGGCCCGAGAAATCGATACCCGCTGACATCAAAGCCTCACCAAGTAGCACAGGCTAATTTTTAAGTTGATAATTTTGTATGGCCTACGAATGATGTTATAAATATCCAAATGGCCCTTGGCAGAAAAAAGGTTCCCCACCCCTGGAAGCAGGCAGCATCCAGAGCTCAGTATTCTTATGAAAAAAAAAAAAAACAGTGGTTTTTATACTGGGTCTGGATTTTTAAAAGTTGGGCCCTGAAACATTATAAGGCACCTAGAGAGTAGAGGCTTCATGGACCCTGCAATACACATTCACAGAACAAACCAGGGTGGGGGCTGGGAGGGCGGTAGACCCATCACAGTAGCATCGTGCCCCAGGACCTGTGTCTCCAATCCTGGAGGCACCAGTGGTGGGGAAGGGGGAAGGAGAAATAGTCACAGCAACGCTGGTCCCTTGGCAGCACGTGGAACAGAGGCAAAGAACGGCCGTGCAGCCAGCTCCCACGGCTGGTGGGCAGCGGGTGGCTTGGTGGGTGGGTTCACAGTTGCGGAGCAATGGTTCAAGTAGCTGGCCACGATGAAAGCAGCCTCTGCGACCTGAGGACACAGCAGGAACAAAGGAACTGAAGGAGCCCTGGCTGGAAGGCGCTCACTCACACAGCCTTCCCGGGCTCCTTCGCTCTTAAAACACCCACCTGGGAGAAAATGTCCGAAGGGGGTCATCCCTGTGAGGTTCAGAGGCCCAGTGAAATGGGTGCCTATTGGTCTGGGGTCCTCTGTGGGGCACAGTACCCCGCTGAGAACAGGAGAGGAACACTGCTCTGGGTAGCTCCGAGCTGGGAGGGGGCCTCCCTGGGGGAAGGGCCTGTGTATCCTCTCCTTCGGCAGGGCAGGGCAGGGGTGTATTAAGAGGAAGAGGAGGTTTGCAAACTCCAACTACAGGATTAAAGCAACAGGGTTTCCAGTTATTGTCAGAGGGAGTCAGGCACTATAAATCAGGGCTTAGGTTCCTGAGTCATCGTAATTCTTATTTTTGCTAGTCAACACTTCCTTTACTGAGTGTGAAAAAAGCCCTTAAGGCAAAAGAGGTCTTTGGATGGATTTCAAGACCTGAAGGAAGGGGAGCATGTGCATACTGTCATACTTTGTGACTAGAGTTGGGACAGCAGAACCCAGGATAAGGTGAGAACATCTTAAGGCAGCTGCCCTGGCCCTGGGCCTCCCGCAAGGAGAACAGCGAGTGAGCACCGATCCAGCCTGCGTGGTGCTGAGGCCTGGGAGAACCAGGAAAGGTCATGTGCCGGGCACAGGAGCAGCTGGGCCAGAGCTCCCTCCCTAGCCAGCCCTCACCCACCTGCTCAGCAGTGACTCTCCACAGCAACTCTGCCTGAACCCTTTGGAATAATGATTACAGACAAGGCCAATAATGATTACTGGGGGCAGGGCTCTTCCAGGATCCGGTCATAACCCCGGCTTCCTTTCTAAGCTCCCAGCCCACCTCTTCCTAGCAGGTCAGAGTTAAATGTTTCAGTAGCTCTCAGACGTACCTTGGGAGTGGCCATCCGGAAGGTCAACTTTTCAATGTGGCCTTTTCCAGAGCTCTGGTCTGGAATGGATCTAACCACAAGCATGAAGTCGTCCCGGCAGCCACCGAAGGTCGTCACTGAAGAGTAGGGGTAAGTGACATGCACTTGCTGTGGGAAAGAGCCAGTCAGTTCCAGGGTAACTTCAGGATTAAAGTGTCAGCTGCGTCCTGAGCTAGGAGCGCATGCCCTGTCTCTACCAGGCACAGGGAGCCTTAACCAGGAAGGGAGAACTCTGAAGTGCTCATAATCTGGACCCTACACCTCCGATGGCTACCAGCTGTGTCTAACTGGAGCCCAGCAGTGCCTGGGCCAGGGGTGGGGTAGGGAGACCACAGTCACTTAACTCAGGCCTCTGAGTCCAGAGAGGAGAAGAAAAGAGTACTCAGAGAAGGAGGGGGTCAGGGAGCCACCCTCCTTCCGTACCATAGTGTTGTGGTCCAGGATGCTGACACCATCCTCATTCACAGCAATCCACACCAGAGCTTTCTCCTCGGAAGACAGCTGTACAGGCTGGGGAAACAGGGGAATCCCATCAGATCTACCCACAGCCAGGGATTCCGAGCCAGAGGACACGTGCAGGAATGTGCTAGGCAGTGACTGCCAACCTTTTCCTCGTCTTGGAAAACATAAAAGATGGTATCGTGCTGGAGTGAACAGGAGGCACCTGGCCTTGGGGCTCTGGCTCCCTACTAACAATCTCGCGGTGGGAGATCACAGCCCGTCCTGCTCAGCACACTGGCTGAGGACTCTGTACAGTGTAACAGGTCCCTGCTGCTGTCTCCTCCCAGCTCGCAGACACCGACAGCCTGCCACCCACAGTCTCCCCCAGCTAAAGTGCATCTTGCTTCAATCAACTTCCTAGGGACTGGAAAAGAAACAGGAAGGTGAGATTGCAATCTTCCAGGCTGCAGACCCTACCAGTAAGAAAAGTGGCTACTTAGTGGACAATTCCTGGAATCATAGTAGGGCAATCCCCAAAAGGCTGGGGAGGTAGACATGTCACCTTTTTCAGAAGCATTCCCCAACTTCCCAGACCACAGGGGGGCCCCTGTTATATGCCCTTATAATTAGTTGGTCCTATCTTTCCCCCCAGGGGTAGCACTGAGAATGAAATCAATAAAGGAAAGATGAGAGTCACCCAGACACAATCCTGGCCCCAAAGCAATGACTCACAATTCTGGACCAAGGAAATGGGGAGTAGGCTGCAAATGGGTGGAGAGATAGTGACCCCTGGTGGTTGCTAGTTTGCAGGCAGGCGCTTCAGACTGGACTCAAACATGACCAGAGAGGGACAGCAGCTCCATGAGAAAGTCAGGGCCTTCCTGAGGGTGTGGTCGCCACTCCTCCCGCTGGAAACCACGCGCACTTACCTGAGCAGCAAAGAGCTTAGCACCGAAGAAGGGCCATTTCCGGGCTACTGTCAGGTAGATGCGGATGCACTCAGGAGCGGAGCAGCCTTGCAGCGTTGCCCACTTTGTGCTCAGCTGATCTCCGAGGTGCCTGGTTTGGACAGATGGACAGAAGCGGTGCCAGTGCGGTGCTGCCACGTTTTCGAGGCGCTCTGAGACCTCCCCAGCTCTGCAGCCGCCTCCCACAGCAAGTCCCCGCAAGACCTGGTAGCCTACCTCAGCTGCTCAGGGGGTGCCCCGTGCCTGTAGCGCCTTGGGTAGAACCTGTCTAGGGCCTGCTGCAGGTGGTGGTGAGCCTTGGAAGGGGGTGTGCCCCTGGCGCCTGGTGGGAGGGGCCTCTCCAAGTCCCCAAACTCTACCTGTGATAGAAGCACATGGAGGCACAAGTCAGGAATCTGGACATGGTGGGGATGGGGTGGTGGTGAGGTGGGCTGTGGAGAGAGGTGAAACAAACCAACACTTTGTAACTGTACTGGTGAGGTAGGGATGGATGTGGAAAAACACTTCTTGTGGACAGACCCTTTATCTCCAGTTTCACAGACACTGTAGAAACCATCTTATGGTCCTAGAATATTAGAAGTTATCTAGGCCAACGTCCATTTCCCAGCTGAGGTTAAGTGCCTATCCAAAGACACAGCTGGTTAGGGGCAGGCAAGGGAAAACACTGCAGAGATTCTGGCTTCCAACCCGAAGATACGGGAACAGGACTGAAGATGCTACAGATCCTAGAGGACAGCAGGTCCTCGAACAACACTGCTTTGTTCAAAGTCATTTCGTCACAACGTTGATGAGCTGTTTCGCTTGCGGTCGCAGAACCGGCTGAGGATGTTAGTGGGGACGGACTGACTGTAGAGCAGCGCCCTCCAACTGTTGCCCTGGGAGTCGGACACTTGGCTCGAATCCCAGCTCTGCCACTTACCAGAACTAAATGGGATAATACATATAAAATATTTAGCACAGGGCCCTCTATAGAGTATTCAATAAATGTTTATTATATTTAAGGTCAGCTATTATTATTTCTCCTTCCTTTCCAGCCTGCAGATCCAGGGGAACGATACCGGTATCCCAGATTCCTTTGGCAAGATGGCCTACAGTAACAGGGAGAAGGCTCGAAGTCTGAAGGTGTGTTCCTTTTCCTAATTCCAGTTAAAATGTTTGACAGCTTTAAGTACAAATTTTAGCACGTACATTATGTGATATGCATTATTTAAGAATGACATCTAGGCCCTGCCCAGTGTGGTTGGAGCACCCTCCCGTACACTGAAAGGCTGTGGGTTAAACTCCCAGTCAGGGCACATACCTAGGTTGTGGGTTCAATCCCTGGTTGGGGTATATATGGGAGGCAAGTGATCAATGTTTCTTTCTCTCCCTCTCCTCCTTCCCCTCTCTCTAAAATCAATAAGAATGTCCAAGGGCGAGGATTAAAAAAAAAGAATCATATTTTGTACAACCCTGCGGAGGCAGGTACGAAGGTCTTTTCATTTTCAGTCTACGGAAATGGAAATGAAAAGCACACACAAGTAAAGTGACGTGACCGAGATGTCAGAGCAGGCAGTGGCTGGGACTCTGAGTTCCACGTCCAGAGTTCTGCCCGCAGCCTGTCTCCACGAGTCAGCTCCTCTCCGCAGCCGGCAGCCAGGCCCCCTCTCCTGGCTCCCCAGGAGCTGCGGAATCTCCTGTTCCAGGCTGCGTGGCGCATTCCACCTGTGGGTCCCAAGATGGTACCCTGACCCTTCTGACTCCCAACAGAACCCCACCTGGGCCATCAGGGCAGCCATCTCCAGAGCCAGTTCCTTGTTGACAGGAAACCTCCCTGCCGTTATCTCCCCGCTGGTCTGGAAGGCAAGCAGCAAACGCTCCCGCTCCGTCTCCCCTTTGACTTGGCTCCGGAAGTACAGCCTGCACGGAAGACAGTGAGAAGCCAGGTCAGCTGGGATCCTGAAAGGATGAGGTCATCTGGGCATCTGTTTATCTTGATTTCCAAAGAAAGAAAGAACTCATTTTATACCATTTGCGAGCCTGTCTTCTAATGCCTCCAAAGGCGTGAGCAAGCATGACCCGTCAGACCTCACAGCAACGGCGGCGTGCGCTTAATTCTGCCACACCGTTGGACTTAGGGATTTGGTGAAGGGGATCTGGTACCAGGAATCACAGCTCATTAGAGAATAGGATGAGCAAGAATCCAAGAGACTAATGGAAATTATTTTCCTGGAGACAAATCTGGGATGGAATTTTCTTAAACTGGTAGAAAGGATGTCTACTTCTGTATTCTTGTATATAGGAGCAGTTTATTTTTAGCCTTAAATATCTAGTGCTCACACAAAATCTCACTCCCTGTGAGGTAACACATGCAGCCATCGTGAGGTTGGTCTGTTTTCTTGGTGCGCACATGCACGCGTGTGTGCACGTGCGTGTGTGTGTGCACGCGTGCGCGCGAATGCAGTATAGGGACCGAGAGCCTGAGCTGCCCGTCGGCCCGGCTCCCCCAGCTGACGAGCACCGCGCGTGCTGTATCTGTGGGCCTCCCGCCTGTGTGCCAGTGGCAGCCCCCACGCTCGGCCCCACCCCTGGGCAGTGCTCAGGACCTGTTCTTGTACATCAGCTTCGCGACACGAGTGCCACCCTCAGACTTTCCGGAGTGCAGCTCCTTCAGGGCTTGTTCCCACTTGGAGATGGCATCGCAGATCTTGAAGCAGCAAAGAGGAGAGTCAGAAAAGCGCCTGATGCGGGGAAGGAGGTCCAGGCAGAGCGAGGCTCAGGCAGAGCAGTAGGGCAGCGGAGTGACTGCTCCAAGAGGAGGGTGACCTGCGGGGCCGTGGGCTCCTGCTCCCAGGACCCCAGGTGCCTGCAACTTCCTCACAGACAGACAGGGGTAGCTTGGGCATGGTGTGCGCAGCAAAGCAAAGCAAAGCTGCCCCTACAGGCCTTAAATCTGAGTCCCCACCCCTGCCCTGAGGCAAGGCAGGTCCCAGTCAAAAACCATGGCCTCATATCACCAGCTCCAGTTCCATTCCACTGCCCCTCATTCTCCTCTTCAGCAAATACACCGAGGTCTTCGGTGCAACAAAGCCTACAGCTGCCCGACATTTACAAAGGAGGAATGTGGCCTAGTGTTTCCAGGCAATGGTGAAGGACTACAGAAACCTCTGTCCTGCTGCCGTAAGGAAAGCGGACACTGGACCCAAACACTCACACTCACGAAGCACGTCCTGCAAGCACTTACCAGGCGCCATGGCTCTGACCTCAGGGCACAACACAAGACAGGTCCTTAATCCCATTCAAGGGCCTTTAATGGAGAAGGACCATAAGCTCTACCTCCTAAAAACGTGGCTGCACCTGTAGCATAGCACAGGCCCTGGCGGACAGGGTAAGAGCGAAGTGCCCGTGTAGGACACGGCGGCGTGGGCATGTGCTGTGCGTAGTGGGCAGGCTCCGCTGGGGCTGCTGCTGAGAAGGGCCTCCCTGCCTTCCTACACCAGCTGGGAAGCAGTGTCCCCCTGGATACTACGCAGCCACTGAAGGGAGACAGGATGTAGAGATCTGGTCCCCAGAGACAAGGGCATAAACACCTTTTCTCTGCCCATACGGTTACATTTTAGGATGGCGTAGAAATGGGGGTAGCACCTTGGGCTCAGCACCAAAAAGGCTGTGACAGTAGACACCCATCAGACAGGCTCTGTCCCCACCACCAAAACCCAGAGCCAGGCAGGGGCTCAGGAGGGGCTCGGCGGCTCCGCGGGGAGGCTGTCACCTTGACACTCCCCTGCAGGCAGTGTTCCAGGTCCCGGCCCGAAGGATCGTCCGTGAAGAGGGCAAAGCCAGAGTGGGACGACTTTCTCATGCCCGTCTCCTGGTTCAGCCGCTGGAGGAACTCATCCACTGTGGAGGAGCCGTCGAAACCAACCACCTGCAGGGGAGACAGCCCCAGAGGGGTTTCCTCAGGGGTGCTCACTGGGGCTCCGGGAGGGGTCTGCGTCCAGAGGTGGACAGTCTTGGATAAAAGGAGCAAGGGCAAACGCCAGAGCCAAAGAAGCACCCCACTCTGTATTCACATGCAGAGACTGGGTGCCTCAGGGGCGAGCCCGCCCTGTGGAACCTGGCCTGGGACACCAGCTCTGTTCCCTTCACTATCTATCACGTCTCTGGAGGCCCTTCCAGGCCACCTTCTTGGTCAGTGTCTCTGCCTCTCTGTTCATGCAGTGGGTTCAAAAGATCTACTTCCAGCCCAGCTGGTGTGGCTCAGCGGTTAGAGCATCGGCCCGTGGACCGAGGAGTTGTGGGTTCGATTCCGGTCAAGGGCACCTTGGCTGCGGTTCAGTCCCTGGCCCTGGTTGGGGTCAAGCAGGAGGCAACCAATCGATGTCTCTCCCTCTCTCTTTCCCTCCCGCTCTATCTGAAGATAAATGGAAAAATATCCTCCAGTGAAGATTTAGAAAAGAAAAAAAGATCTACTCCCAAGTCAGGGGGCTTTTGCAATTCAAGCTCCTCTCTCCTGCCTCACGGGCACTACCCACCCCACTCCCCCCCTAAGTCCCAGGCCCATTCCTTTGCTGGTTTGCCTATTAAGAATCTGCCAGTCCCAAGGAGGCTCAGACCGACCTAGCCTGGGGCACTCCCCTCTGGGACAGCGCACAGGCGCCCTCACCTGGTAGGTCCCGTTGGCGAAGTGCACGGGGATGCTGAAGGGCAAGCAGTGGTGGAAGGGGTTCCGCAGCAAGACGGACACCACCTCCATGCGTGATGGCCTGGCCTCCCGCTCCCCCGCCTGCAGCGTCCGCTCCACTGCCCGCTGGCAGTAGGTGGCATACTGGCCAGTTTCATTTCTGAAAAGACAGGCGAAGAAAGGAAATACTAGGGAGTCTACTCCTGCCACTCTGGCACCCTGGCTCCCAACCTAGACCTGGCCAGGACCGTGTCGGCAGCTGGGGCAGGCTGTTAAAAAAGCCCTGAAGACTGGCCTGGGGTGTCCATCTGCCATTCCGGGCCTATATGAACACAGCCACAGAGAATGAAAATCTGGGGGACGATATGGGGGCAACGAGCCCCACAAAACATCCGTGCACATGTGAACCGGTGTGCAGAGAAGCCCAGGCCTGCCCAGATCTTCACGTGCCCGTTTGTGAACAGAGCAGTGGGCGAGGTCTCTATGGCCACAGAGCAGATCCCAGAGGGTAAGGGGTGACCTGGTCCAGCCGGGGCTCCCCTGCGGCGGAGGAAACGGCGCCCACTCACCTGGGGTCCGCGTGGCGCTGGAGCTGCTGTTTGATGTACCAGAGGAAGTGGTGCTGGGGCAGGAAGAGTGGGGCGCACAGAGCCAGGAGCTGCCAGCACTGTGGGGCACAGGCCTCGTGGGGTGAGTGCTGGGGCCGCAGTGCCCCCGGCCCCCACCATCCTGAGCTACAGAGTCTTCAGCGCTCCCCAAACCAGAGACCCCCCCCCCCACCCGACCCCGGTTCTGGGGGCCAAGGTGGCCTGGCTCTGACCAGGACAGCGATCGCACAAGCTGCCTGCGCACCGACATCCCAGAGGCGCACAGAGAGGGCAGCTTGCTGAGGCAGCTCTGAGCACCGGGGCTGCCCACTGGCTCCCGGGACACCTGCCCAGTCGCGGCCTCCCTCTGCCCTCTGCTGGGCAGCCCTTGCCTGACTCCTGGCCACTGGCCCCTGGGACCCCGACCTGCGTGAGGGAGTGCTTCTGCGGCGGGCGGCAGCTGCTCTGCTTCATCAGCTGGCAGTAGATCTCGCTCTGCAGCTCGGGGTGGACCAGGCAGACCTGCAGCGCCCTCTGCGCCAGGGACACGTGGTAGTCCACCGAGGAGGCCTCCACGGGCACGGTGATGAAGAGCTGGCAGGACTGGCGGGGAAATGACAGTGGGCACAGGCAGCCCAACCGCCCGGGATCATCTCCCTGCGACTGGACAGACTGGGCCGTCCCCCAGGGCTCGGGAGGCACCGGTTCGGTTCGCAGAGAACGTTCTAAGAGGGGGCTGTTGCGGCTCCAGGGCACCTGGGCCTGCTGAGAAGGCCTCCTTGGGACAGAAGCTTCCCTTCTTCAAACGTTTCTATTACATAAGTGAGACATACTCATTTTTAAAAAAATAGAATATTCAAGACAGGCACAAAGAACATTCTGAAATAGAACCTCTCAGGTCCAGAAACAACACAGGCCTGCCCGGTCTTGCTGTTCACCACAGGTGGGGAGCTCCTCAAGGACAAGTCTCCCCAGGGCGTCCAGCCTCCCTGTCCACCTCCACAGGGCATGGCGGCTCTTCCCTTCCTCTTGAGAGCTTTCTGTGGGCTGCCCCCTGACTGCTTGGGTCTCCCTCACCTGAGGATCATCATTGTGGGCAGAACTGTGTGGGCAGAGCCTAGGCACATGGCAAGGGCACCCACCACCCGTCGGTGGGAGTGGGCTCTGCGCCACTTTACCTTGAAGAGCTTGAGGGCCTCGGTCTGCAGGGCCTCGGACGGCAGGGTGGTGAGGGACGTGTGCAGCCCGGCTTGGCTGTAGCACAGCGTGGGGTGCCTCCAGAGCGGGGAGTCTGCCCAGAGCAAGGGGGGCAGCGGCAGGGACCGCTCGTCAGGGAACTCGCCTCCCACCCCACCCCCACTTTGAGCTGTGGGGAAGGGAAGGATTTTTTTTTGCATTTATCTTCAGACAGAGCGGGAGGGAGAGAGGAGGGTAGACGGAGAGAGAAACATCAATGTGAGGAAGACACATCGACTGGTCACCACCCACACAACCCAACCAGGGCCGGGGACAAACTGCAACCGAGGTACGTGCCCTTAGCGGGAACCGAACCCGGGTCTCTCTGGTCTGTGGGCCGACGCTCTAACCACTGAGCTAAACTGGCCAGGGCAGGAAGGGAAGGATTTAACTGTCTGGACCCTGGGATGTGCTGGGTTTATGTGCAGTGTGGGGCTCACACGCACAGCTTACAAGAAGGCAGCCTCTGCTTTGCTCGTGCGGTGCCGCAGGGCGAGTGCGAGGTGTGGACACGAGAGCAAGCCTGTGTGTGCGGGTCAGGTCTGCGTGGAGGCGTGTGCACCAGCCTGCAATAAACTGCGGTGCAGCCGAAGGGGGGTGTGTGGCATGTGCGTGTCGTGTACTCGTAGTGCCTCAGGGTCCTGGAATCAGCAGCCAACTACAGACCCCGAGGTGCCCCGGCCTAGGTCAGCCTCCATTTATTAACAGCTCTAACTACAGACGAGCCAGCGGCCGCCCCTCCTCAGCCTCTTCCCAGCCAGCAAAGCTGCAGGTTGAATAAAGTAAAGCAATGACCCAGGTCACTGGGACGTCTGCTTCTCAGGTAAACTGCCCCCCACACAGAGTGGTCACCTCTGTCACCAGAGACAGTGGCCCTGGGGCTCAGGACGGGAACGCCCTTGGGCGGCTTATGTGGTTTTAAGACAGGGTAAGGGCACAGCAGCTTTCTTTGGGTCCCAGCCACCACCCTTGAACCCAGCCTGAGGGCCACGCTGCCTTACCGGGGTCTCCCTCCTCGTCCATCAGCTTGCCAATGAGCTGCTCGTAGGCGGTCCCCACCCTGGCACTGCTGCCACCTGCAGCCACTGTGAGGTGATAGCGCCACGTGTCCTGGAAGAGGACGGAAGCCAGCTGGGAGGGCTGGGCGGGACATGGAGGCCAGAGCCCCCAGGCCCGGGGCGGTCCAGCTGGTTTGGTTAGCACAAGTCAAGGCTACCAGTCTCTGGGAGGAAAGAGCTGGGGTCAGGTGAACATGAACCCAAGTTTCTAAGTTTGTGGTTCTACCTTGGTGAAAGAGATGGTCACTGGGATTAAATTCAACAGACGGAATATTCCCAATCAAGGACCATTAATTGCCAAAATGTCCAGGAGGGAAATGAATGTGGGGAAGACGGGGGAGGGGAGAGAGGAGATGAGAACTGCAGGTCCAAGCTTGGCAAGGCGGCCAGTCCCCTCACCTTTTCACGCTTGGTGCCAATGAGGAGGTAGGTGGGGCTGTGCTCCGAGGGGTGGATCACCAGGGTGTAGTGGGAGGACAGCAACCGCCGGGTTCCTCCAGCCTCGTAGTCCTCGTCTGAGTCACAGGACCGGTCGACTTCCTCTATGCGCGCGTCCCGCACAGGCAGGTGGCCCAGGGGTTGCTGTGGATGTGAGCTGCCGTGAACGGGAGAGCCAGCAGGGGGCAGGGTCTCCTCTCTCGGACCCTGGGGCCTGTGGGCTGGGAAGCATGGACGTGGACAGAGGACAGGAGGAGGGGCCACGGCTCCCTGGCTGAGGCTGGCTTGGAGAAGGGCAGTCGGCCAGAGTGTCGGTGGCCACGCACTCTGCAGGGAGCTGGCCAGCTGGCTTTGCACTTCCTGTGGGGTCAGGCTGGACAGAGGGGAAAGCTGGGCCTTCCGTCTGTACGGGGAGCCCCAGGAATGGGGTCTGGGGAAGAGAACAGGTGCTGTCGGGAAGCAGGAAGTACCTTGTCCTCATGGCTCCGATAGTAGTAGAAGGTTCTCCCAACGAGAGCACACCAGACCAGCTTGGAGTGGCCATGCTTCACCTGTGAGACACACGAGCCAGCACTGCCTGAACAAGATGCCCCCGGAGGTAAATCCAGGACTGGCAAAGAGAAGCCACAGGGAGGCAGATGTCAAACCCCCGGTCAAACCCGGGTCCTCAGTGGAGACGCCCAGACTCGGAGGGCACCCGCCCTTTCACAGCGAGGGGCCATGGCGTGTACCGCGGGACACCCCGGCCACCCTTGTACGACCTGCCCCTGAGACTGACCAGGCAATCACATGTCCCGTCCCAGGGGTGTGCACACGAGAACCTGCGGGGCAGCAGAGGCCGGATGGTAAGGGTGTCGAGAGGGAGGCGGCCAGGGAGGCGAGTGGGCATGGTGAACGGTGCGGGAGCGGCAGCTGTGCGCAGAGGGGATGGCTGGGGACGCAGGGCAGAGCGAGCTCGCCCGGGCCAGTGTGTGTGCCTCTTCATCAATTCCCCTTTACTTGGGGTTAACATTCCACTCTGTGCAACCAGAAGAGCCCTAACTAAACGTCTCTAGGGCAGGCCTGGGATACTGTGTGTTTCTGAGTGGCCACACCTACCTTGCTTAGGTCCCAGCTTCCCACTGTTCCCACTGTGGGTGCGGGTGGGGGTGGCGGGCAACCCCAATGACCTCGAAATGGGTACAAGACATTGTGTCCCTCCTCTGTCTTGAGAACAGCTGCTGCTCTAACAACCCTGAGCCCTGCTTCCAGGGACTCACTCACGTCACCTGTGTGCTCAGACCATGTCTGAGGCGACCAGCTAATCCCTGGGAGGAAGTCCCTGAGAAAGGGGCCGTGGGTACAGAGGACCCCAGGCCCCTTGGCACTCCCGCTCTTGGCTCCCCCGACTCTCAGGAGGCCCACCCCCTCTCCACCAGCCCCAGCCATACCTTGGTCAGCCAGCCCTGCACGGCGGGCTTGGCGCCACCCTGGGGCAGGGCTGGAGGCCCAACGGCCTGGACCTTCAGCAGCCCCTGCAGCACTCGGATCCACTCCTCCAGCAAGCAGGGCGAGTCCGCCGTCAGGTAATAGGTTTTCTTCTCAGAGACCAGCTGGGCAGGAGGGAGGGATTGAGGCGGAGCCAGGAGGCCGGGGGAAAGATAACAGAAACCTGGCTCTGAGGTGGCACAAATCCGAGCCCACAGGGCCTTCCTTCCTCCCACCCCGCTGTTCCCCCTCTCCTTCCTTCACTCTCTCTCACTCACAAACGAGGGTCACCCCCAATGTCGATGTGATGTCTTTCACTCATGCCGTTTGGCCCATCTCTGTCTCCCTCCAGCCCTCTCCCGGCCAGCGCCCCTGCTGTCTGAGTCTGCAGCTAGGACCACGCTCACCTGGAATGTCTGAGCACCCTCCCCGCGAACGATTTGGCAGCGGGAGTTCAGTTCCACCTGACCCTGAGGCTTCCGGATGATATCGCTCTGTAAAGAAGGGGAGCCCTGACTCCAGGTCTCAGAGGAGAACGCGACTCCCCAGCTTCCCTGGGCTGTGCGTGAGGGGCACCTGCTCTGCACCCTGGTTCCAGCTAAATGGGGCGACGACCAGACACGGGTCCTTCTGACCGTGGCCTCAGGAAGTTTAGATCGAGTCTTTATTTATTTATTAAAAATTTTTAAAAACATAGTTTAAATTGCAGTTTACATACGATATTATTTTGATTTAGTCTCAGGTGTACCGCACAGTGGTTAGACAGTCATCCTTCACAACGCCGTTCCCCTGATACTCCAGTGCCCACCTGGCCCCGTACATCATTACTAGTGTTATTGACTATATTCCCTGTGCCGTCCTCACGTCCCTGTGACTGTTCTGCAACCACCACCCCGTACCTCTCAGTCTTCACCTCTTCGCCAGCCCCTGCACCCCCTTTCCTCTGGCAACCATCAGTCTGTCTTCTGTATCTATGAATGTTTGTTTTATTTGTTCATTTATATTCTTTAGATTCTGCATATAAGTGGAATCACATGGTATTGCCTTTCTTTGACAGATGTCACTCTGCATAGTACCCTCTAGGTCCATCCATGCTGTTGCAAATGGTAAGATTTCATTCTTTTTAGGCTGAGCCTTTAAAATTGACTTACTTAGCTTACTACTAAGCTACAAAGTCCTTACATTTTCTTCTACTACATCTTTTATATCAAGTGTGGCAAATAAGTGGTATATATATATCAACACTCCCATTTCCAGTGCCACTGCAGACATTACTAATCGATCAGAGCATGCCTGCCTACTGAGTGGTCCAGGCCCAGATTCCTTAACAAGGTGTTTGAGACAGCCACTATAATTCAAGTAGATTTGCACTAGAGACAAGGCCTTTTTGCCCTCCTTAAAATGTTACTGATCAGGGAGGACCCGTCAAAGTAGGTCCCAGCATCCAAGGCTCCCCGATTCCAAACAGTGTTGGAAGGATGGGGAGGAGGCAGTGGGGTCGTCTTTGAACTCAGCTTCTAAAGGAAGAAGTGGCCAAGCCAACTCGGCTAGAAGTGCCTCTGCCTGCTCAGCCCCTGACTTCAGTGTGAGAACCAATGACCAGCCTCAGGGTCTGCGTGAGGCTCAGAGCCTCTCCCCACCTGCCAGCCCTCTGCCCTCTGCCCACGGGCGACACTGCCCCTCTTCCAGCTCCCCTCACACCCCAGAGGCCGGGTGGGGTCCTTCAGGTGACGACCGTGGGGAGGAGGGTCTCACCGGGGACTTGTAGTAGAGGATCTGTCCCTGTCTCAGGACAAACCAGCGCCTCTTCCACGTCTTCACCCGGCTCCCCATTTTCAGCAGGTAGCCCGACTTCTCCAGCGACTCCTGCAGGGGTGGGAGGTGCAGAGGGGAAGGGTGAGCAGAGAGGGGGAATCACTGAGGTGTGGATGTCACACAGGCCAATATGGCCCAACTGAGTCACTGCTTTGTCACCAGTTAGAAAAACACTGAGCACCTGTTGTATTTTCAGGGCACGTGTCCTGCTAAGGGCCCAGAGAGGACTACATAAGCATGGGTGGCCCTGCTGCGGGCGGGTCCTGCTGCCGAGGAACACACCTGACCACGAGCAGATGGCAGATCGGGGTTGCAGGAGGGAGAGGCTGGCCGGGAAGGGGCTTCAGGAAAGGGCTGAACTGGCCGCTGAGGTCAGCCTTTCCCTCAAAGATGAGCTGGGAGGAGGAAGAGGCCCTTTAGGCAGCAGGGAAGGGGGAGGTTTGGGGAATGGTGGGCACCTCCGCCAGGCTGGGTGGAGGTTCGAGGCGGGGAGACTCAGGCAGGGCAGCTGGGTGGTGTGCAGCAAGGGCAGGGGGTGTACGGCACAGCTCTGCGCCTCAGGCTTCTCATCCACAGAATGGGGTCATAACCCGAGAGGATTGAGGCAAGTGAGGCAGTACATGAAAAGCATGGAGCACGGTGCCTGGCACACTGGAAGGACTCAGTGTTAGCTCCCAGTGTCCCAGGGTCAGCGTGGAGAAAAATGAGGTGTTACATGTAAACCCCTCGGACTTAGTGGGCCAGAGTGTACTTTCTGACTGGCCATTCCTGGTTTGCTGAGGAGCCCAGCACGCACCCTCTCCGTCCTCACGGGGTGTGTGCGTCTGACTCCACAACTGCACACCCCCAGCCCACTCCCCTGGCCCCCCCTCCCTTCCCCATCCCAGGGACCCCTCCTCTCGCTGCTGCTGCCCATGTCTTGCACGGAGGGCCCTGGCAGGCAGCTCCCACCCATCAGCCCATTGGCTGGGCCACCGTCCAGCTCACCCCGCCCAGGCTCGGCCCATCAGTGGAGTAGGACGAGGTGCGCTGCAGCTTGTGCTCGGGCTCTGAGCAGTCGCTGTCCAGGGAGCAGGCGTCTGGGGGGATGGCGTAGTCACCCTCCGAGCTCAGAGAGGACATGGAAACACCTGGCCAGGGGGGAGGATTCGAGGCCTGTGTCCCATGTTTCACCACCTGGCCCCCGAGTCTGAGGGTGAGGGCTATGGGCAGAGGTCAAGCAGGGGCCCCCTGTATGACTGCCCACGGGAGGAGGTGAAGGGCCTTTTGCTGCCCTGCACCCTTCCTGCTCCCCTCTTGTACCTCTCTTGATGGCCCGGGGGCTGCCCAGTCCACTGGTCTTCCGGGGCTCCGAGCAGAGGACTGAAGTTTGGAAACTCGCCTGAGAGCTGCAGTCGTCGTCGGAGCCAGAGGACTCGTCCACAAAGGGCACGGAGCTGATCTGCGTGGCCCTCTGCAAGACAGGCCCCCTGCCCACTGCAGCTCAGGCTGCAGAACAAGCCCCATCCCACCGGCACTGCACTCTGGCTGCAGGTGCTCGGAGTGTGGCCAACACAGCCTGTCTGGGGCACATGGATGCCACCCCCACCCAGGCCACCCAACAGACAGCTGTCCCTTCCAGACCTCACTCTTGTGTCCTCACTGCCAAGCTGCTCCTTGGGCTGATGGTGGGGGAGCCACACCATCCCCTGTGGTCCCCACAAGAGCTGCCCCATCCTGGCTGCACACCTAACCACTGTGCCCCTACTCCCTGCCACTAGGGGGCCAGAAAGCCACACGGGGCCCAAGTGTGAGCAGGAGCTTTGAGAACGTGAGGGATAAGGAAACGAGAGCATCTCAATGGAGACATTTCAGGAGATCGACGATCTCAGTGTCAGTGAAACTGGAGAAGAGGGCGCTCTGCAGTGTGACAAAGATTTTTAGAAGATAATTTGGCACCACCTGTCAAAATTTAAAACGTGCATATCATCTGCCCATGAAGTCCACCTCTAGAACTCTGTCCTACAGATATATATATACAAGTGCACAGAGATGTGTTGGCACAGTGATGTTCATCACACCATCTATTTTAGAGAAAAAGAGGCAGACCTGAACTGTCAATCGGTGGAGGATGGGGTAAGGTCATGAGGGGCGTCTAACTGAGGGGTACTGGACGGCCCTAAAAGGGAAAGCACGGCAGGAAGACCTGGCACATGGCTGAGTGAACACACAAGGCGCAGAAGGACACGTACGGTGCGATCGCCTGTGTGTGCACGTGTGTGCCAGGGACAGACGGCTGTGAACGCCCCGAGGGCCTCAGCCAAACAGCAAACCACCCGTGACAGAGGCCTCTGGGTCAGGAATGGGGGAAAGGCAAGGTGACAGGACACTTCACTTTGCCTTTTTATTCTTCTATAAAAGTTTTACAAAGTGTAACTGTTGTGATTTCCAAAATGAATCATAACAGGAGACAGAAATGCATATAAAAACAGGTTGCACTTGTATCTGATTTTTGTTTTCAAAAGTGTTTCAATATATGCTCCCATATGTCTAAACATGTAAAAAATCCTGACAGCAGCGCCACTGCCCTCTGGGACACCCCTGACAAGATGGGGGGACAGGCCGAGCAGGCATAGGGTTAACCTTTCACTTTTTGTTGTTGTTGTTAATCCTCACCCGGGGATATTTCCCACTGGTTTTCAGAGAGAGTGGGGGAGGGGGCATTGATGTCAGGGAGACACATCGATTGGTTGCCTCCTGCATGACTCTGACTGGGGCCAGGGATCGAACCTGCAACCCAGGCATATGCCCTTGACCAGGAATCAAACCCAATTCCCTTCGGTCCTTGGGCCGAGGCTCTAACCCCTGAGACAAACTGGCCAGGGCAACCTTTCACTCTTTACTTTGCCCACAATCATATTGATTCCAATTTTTCTTAAGTGTAGAATCTTTCTACTAAAAGTCTGATAAGGGTAAACAATAAAAATAAAATGTGGTGGGCTGAGCTCCTGCCAAGTCGAGTGAGTAGAAGCTTGCCCCGGAGCCCCACTCCCGCCACCGACTGGACGGGGCCGCTGGAGGGGGACACCCTGTCCTCGGAGAGCAGCTGCTTACCCCCTTCAGGACGGTGTAGACGGGCGCCGTGCAGTTCCTGTAGACAAGGCCGGAGAAAGGTCCAGCGGATGAGAGCGGGGGAGGCCTCGAACCTGCAGGGGCAGGAAGTCATGGGATGAACGCAAGTGCCACAGCCCAGTGCGAGACCTGGACAGAGCGAGGAGGACAGCCACAGACAGCGTTCCCTGACACAGCCCTCGGGGTGACAGACTGGGTGACAGATCTCAGGACGGGCCAGGCTTTCTCCAGTCCCTCTCTTGCCAAGGTGAGTCTCCAGTCACGCACTAGGGCTCTCCTCACTGTGAGGGTTGTGCGGCTAGCCCACGACTCAGGACACCGCGGTGGAGACCGGCCTCCTTCAGGGGGCTCACCTAAATCAAGGTAGCGGAGGCTGCTTCCACCCACAGCCCTTTACAGAAGGGAAGCCAGTGCAAGGAGCAGGCTGGGCCCAGGGGCCCCCACTACAGTCCTCCCAGCTCTGGAAGTGGCTACAACCCTGTTCAAGGCCACTCCCACCGGCAGGCCACAGCTGAACCCGCACAGCTTTTCTCTCTCCAAGGCAGCCCTGGCTACGTGGTTTCACCCGAACCTTGCCTGTTGGGGAGGGCATGGGGTGCCAGGTGACCCTAGCCCTGGGTGTCGCCCAGAATCCTCTCCTCCCTGCATGTCCACCCTGCCCACTGTGGGCACCCGACTTGGGACTCACCACAGCAGGTGGCGTTACTTCTGAGAGGGACGCCCGAGAGACGCATGCCTGACATGGCCACAGCGTAGATCCGGCTCTCCTGGAATGAGAGGTCCCAGGAGGGTCAGAGCCCAAGGCGGTGCCACCCCAGCTCCTCCTGGGTGTGGAGAAAAAGCGTGGGTTTGGAGGCAGCCAGACCTGTGCCCACATAGACTCGGCTGCGTACCGGCGGGGCAATCGGCAAGTCACCTTGTTTCTGAGCCTCAGCTCTAAAATAGGGCGAGAGCACTCACCTTTCAGGACGTGTGAGAACCCCATGAAACGGCTGATGTAGGTGTCTAACACCTGGACTACAGCCAGTGCCCTGCACTCCCCGGCTCACCCTGCCCCGGGACAGCGGAGTGCCCGAGGACAGGAGTGGCCTGTTCTCTGGATCTGACCCATCTGACAGCCCCTGGGTCTCAGGCTCTCACCCCTACAAGTGGGGTGTTGACCACGAGCAACTCAGAGCTCCATGGTGAGGGCATGACCTTCTGTAAGCCAGTGGTCTGGAAGCTGGGACACGGTTTTTCTGCAGTAAGGTCACATCATGGCCAGGCTTTGGTCCAACCTACAAAGCCTGTCCAAGAACCCCACTCCACCCCTGGATGGATGGGGAGCGCCCACCCTCAGCTCCTGCCCCATCCCCGGGTATCCCTGCACAGTCGGCCCCCAGGCCTGGGGAGTTTTTCTGATGGCTTCGATGGCTCCTCAGCAGCTCACGGGCCCACCTCTGCTTTTGGGTATTTCTCTTCTTCACTCAAGATAAAGGGACAACAACGGCCCCTTCAGGTGACCTTGAGTCCCAAGGACCAGAGAAAGTGCCGGCTCAGGGCTGCAGGCAGGGCTGAGGCGCGGGGGGTGGAGGGGGCTGGGAGGAGATCCTGAGACAAGGGCCTGGAAGGGCCAGGTCGGGACAGGGCAGGGCCGAGGGAGCAGCCAGCGGGGCAGGTACACTGGGACCAAGCGGTGAAATTAGGCAGAAAACAGATGCTCCTAGTAGTGGCGGGAAAGGAACGTGGAGCTTGAGGAATTTGGGTTTATCCTGATGAAGGGATTTAGGCCACTATCTTAAACCAACAGGAGCGTTTCACAAAGGACATCTAAGGCCTAACTAACTCACCTCAGGTTATTCTGGAGGTCAACAGGAAAAGGGCTCTGTGAACTCTAAACTGGCAAATAAGATTATTTTTTTGTTCTTTTTTAATTAGTTTATTTTTGTTACAGCTGTGTCTCCTTTTCCCCCCATTGACACCCTCCTCCCGCTCCCGCTCCTCCCTCACCCCCTCAGCAAATAAGACCACCCGACTCCCTCGGATGGAGAAAGGCCCTCCTTGGAGTCCTCGTCCTGATGGTCACTGCCCAGCTGGTCTCACCTGAGAAGAAAGGCTGGCTCCCGGCCACTGTGGCTGCGAGCTGCCAGGAGGCCCTGCTCGGGGACTGGCTGGGCCGAGCCCTCTGTGGTCTCTGCCCCCTGGCCCACCCCGCCTTAGGGATCCAGAGCACTTGCATTTACAAGACCACAGTGAACAGGAGGCGGACGGGTCTGAGGCATTCCAGCCTGGCCTGGCCTTTCCCACATTTTCCGTCTCCACCTTTGTCCCACCTGCCCCTTTTCTGACCTGCCGGCCGCTTCCCCACCTGACCCTTCCTCTCTGGAGGCGGCCCACGGTGGCCCTCCCATGATCCTGGGGCTTCAGCGACAAGTCAGCCATCCTTGGCCTGGAGCCTGACTGGCCTTGAGGGACCTCCTAGCGCCCCTCCCAGCAGGGCCATGTCTTGAGTCACCCCGGTCCCCTTGCGGTAATCACTGCTACGCATGTGGCCGGCAAGCCTGGGGTGGTGGGGCTCCCCAACTAACAGCATTTCAAAAGGAGACCCTGTAAGGTGCTGCTGAAAAGGTGGGCCGCCAGGCAGTGGTGTGGGGTTGTGCCGTCCGCTGTGCCGCCAGGAGCCGGACACCCAGACGTGCCCACGGCGCTGCCCCACGGCGCTGCCCCACGCCACAGCAGCTTCCAGAGGTCAGACCACAAGTAGGGGCTGCAGCTCCTCTCCACGTCCTCAAAGAAGCAGGACAGCTGGAGAGTTAGAGCTGGGCTCTGGAGGCAGCTGGGCCGGTATTCAAAGCCTGGCGCCTCCCTAACGACTACATGACCTTGGGCAAGTGACTAAATCTGTGGGGAGAGCAGTTTCCCAAGCTGCAAGGAAAAACAGCATCTAACTCCTCGCAGACAGGCAAGGAGTCCTGCCTGCGGCGGGCTCTGTGCCCAGCTTTCAATGTCCATTATCTTATCCTCACCGCTGACCTGTGCAGACTTATCAATGCCGCCCCCCCTTTTCATTTTAACTTTTTATCATGGAAAATCGCAGACACAAAAGTGGAGAGAACAGAATAAAGGACGACTTCATGAATCCATCACCCAGTTCCACAAAGATTAGCACGTGGCCAGGCTCATCACCGGTGTCCCCACCCCAGATCCCTGACTCGGAAGCAAGCCCACCAGACAGCGTGGCGTTTTATCCAATGGTACAAGTAAGGAAGCTAAGGCTCAGAAATAACAGCAGCCAACACTTACGTGCCACTTTCTATGACCCACGACTGCAAGTACTTATGACAAATTAACCCTTTTATCCTCATTCTACATACAGTCGTCCCTCACAACTTCACGCTGCAACTTGCGCGGCTTCACTCCATCACGGTTTTTTCAAATATACTCATTAAAAAGTTGATCGAGACAGTGAAAATGATACAGCGCGCGCTCGGTTGTCTGAGTCAATGATACACCCCTGTTTTACACATAAATTAAAATCACTGTACGTATGGACTGTAGGCCTATGTATTCGAGCACCCCAGGAATCCTTCAATGCCAGGTGCAACCGCTAGAGTCTGGAACGGATTAACCACGATAAACGAGGGACGATTGTATAGGGAAACCGAGGCACAGAGGTTTAGGAACTTGCCCGGGTCACAGAGGTAGCAAATCAACCCAAGTGTTTTGATTCTGGGACCCGTGCTCTTAGCCCCCACGCCGCACCCCTTTCGAGAGTCACGGAGGACAAAGGGGAGCGTGCCCACACGGCCCCGGACAGCTCAGCCTGACGAGGAGCGCACGGCTTGCTCGGGGCGTGACTCCGAACCCGGGCTCTGCCCCTCGCTGGCTGGGTGGTCTGGGAGGCTCGGTGGCACCCACCTCCTGGAGGTGCCGTGAGGATGACCCCTCATCTCGTGCTCAGGGTGTGGCTGTGGTCACACCGTCAGCTCTGCCCAGCCCCAGGGGCCTCTTACCCAGGACGGAAACCGGTGCAGGGGGGGTGTGGGTGGTTTGCTTCCCGAATCCACTTCCTCCAGCTCAGCTCCGGAGGCTTTCAGGCTCTCTCTTTCCTCCTTCCTCCCAGCCGGGGGTTGCTCCTCCATCTCCATCTTCTCTGGCTCCTCCCGGAGCTCAGCGGGGGCTGCCACCTTGGGAAGGCTGGCGTGGGGGAGGGCTGAGAGGGTCCCAAGCTCGATGCTCACCATGTGGTTGAAGTGCCCAGCGCCCACCTGGGGCTGGCTGTGGTGCCGCTTGGCCAGCTGGACAATGTCATGGGCGGTGCTGGGAGCCCGCACCTTCGGTAGGGTCAGGCTGCAGCCGGGGCCACCTTCCCTGGCAGAGGTCTTTGTCCCAGAGAGTGACCCTCCCTGAGCAGTGACCAGGCCCTCATCCCAGGAAGCCAAATCATGCCTGGGGGTCCGAGTCTTCATGCACAGGCCAGGAGAGCACTCTCTTCTCAGACGAGGTGGAAGGGTCTTGGCCGCGGATGTTCCCCCAGGACAGACCATGATGGAGCAAGACTCCTCCGTGGGGCTTCCCACCCTAGGGTCAGAGCCCTTGCTTGGCAGAGAACTCGAGGAAGGCACAGGCAGGGATGACTTTAGAGCGTCCTGGGCCTGAGAACCACCGTCCTGCCCCATAGGCTGGGCTCCTGGCCCTGCAGGGACAGAATCCTGCTCTGGGGTTCCCTGGAGGGCCTCCCGCAGCTTCTCTGAAGGTGCCATCTGAAGAGCTGAGGTTGGGGCAAAGATAGGCATATTGAGGGCTCAGACCCCCTCCACCCCCAGGCACACACACTTACATACAGGCATGACACACACACACACACACACTTACCTTCTAGAGCATCTTGAAGGGCTCCCACCTGCTCTACCAGGTGCTGATTACAGCTTTTCAGGTGCTGATTCTCCATCTCAAGCTAGGCAAAAGGAAAAAAGATTTAGAATACTCAGCTCACAGGTTTGGACATATAATTCAAAATAAACTTAAAATCCCTTTTGAAGATCAAATCTCCGGGAAGAACAGTGCTGCCCCCGACCTCCTCCCTCCCTCTGTGCTAACTGGTCTTGTTCAGGATAGAATTCCACTGGGCAATCCCTGCCCTTTTCTTTCTAGTTTCGTTTTTAAGCTTTTTAAAATTGTGAAATACACATACACAGAAAACTGCATACCATGTCAAGGAACAGCACAACAGGTGCTGGAAGGAAAACTCATGTGACCACCATCCAGGTTAAGAAACTTGCCTGCACTCCCAACAACCCTGGACTTGCCCCTTTCTAACCACATGTTCCTCCCTCCCTCCCAGAGTCAACCACTGTCCTAGAGTCAAGAGACTCATGTCTTGCTTTCTGGGTTCTACCATCTAAGTATGTATCCTTACAAAGACTGGTTTTGTCATGCCCATTTTTGAACTTTATACAAATGGAGTAAAACAGCATGTACGTCTGTGTCTGGCTTCCTTTGAACAACATGATGTCTATGAGATCCATCCTCACGGTTGCTGCCTTTTCTTTTAAATGAAATCTCATACACAAGCTGATACCCCTACCAGTAGGTGTGAGCCACATATGTCAGAACACAGGAGAAAATGAGCTTTCCTCCCTTTGCAAACTTTAATTCCTTTTCCTTGTGTTTAGAAAGAGGTTTTTTGTTTTGTTTTTGCTGGTAGCTTCTGGTCCTGAGTTTCCTAAACAAAGCTGTAGCAAGTGCTGAACTATGAAAACGATGGAGTTTGTGGAAAGGAGAACAGAGGCCGTCAGGGGCTGGGGGGAAGAGAGAATGGAGTTAGCGTTTAATAGGTACCGAGTATCTATTTGGGGTGATAAAAAGTTTTGGAAACAGACATTGGTGATGGTTGTGAAAGTACTTAATGCCACTAAATTGTACACTAAAAACCAGCTACAATGGTATATTTTATGTATATTTTTAAATGTTAAAAGGAGTGGAGAGGACAGAGGGGCGTGGAGAGTGGATGGCAAGCACTGTGTGTGCCCTTCAGCGGAACGGAGGCAACTCTTCAGAAGTGAGGCTCGTCCCCTGTCCCCAAACCGAAATACAGCACAAGGCTAACGAGGAGCTCCGGGGGCCCAACCACGACAGAGGAAGGGAACGTGACGGGCTCAGCGTTTAAGCCGACTGAAGGGCAAAGGGTTAACAAAATGAAGGTCAGTCAAGGCCCCTCAAACAGGAGGAGGCAGAAAAAGGCTGGGAGCAACCCCACGTTCATGTCCACTCAGGCTCCAGGAAGACTCACCTCTTCTAACTTGAGCGTCACCCATTCCTTGATCTTTGCGGCTTTTTCTTGAACAACTTTTGCTTCCTCAGCTCTCATCTGCTTCTACAAAGAGAGGGCCTTCAGTGAATTACAGCAGTCCCCGGGTTAGTGCCTAACGAACTGCAGGTGGGAAGCCCTGACGAGGAATACCAGGTGACTGGATGGGGTGGGAAGCCTGATAGAAAAAAATAAATTAATTTATGAGTACGTTTAATATTCTTAAAGTGGGAAAGGCTTTCCTAAGCATAAGAGAAATCCCAAAAAGTCACAAAGAAGAAGACTAATAAATCTATATCATCACTATAAATTACTATCTGACACATACAAAAAAATCCCTTAAACCAAAAGATCAATGGGACGGTAATTTGCGACCCAAATGACACATATACAAAGGTCTAGTTTGAAATAAACAACTGAAAGGATATGAACAGAAAATCAAGAGAAAGAGAAAGAAAAGAAACCCATGAAAAGCTATTCCTGCTCAATCACAATTTTAAGAAATTTGATAACAACAAGATGTCATTTTCCTCTATCAGACTAACACAGCTTAGAAGTTTGATATTGTCCCAGATTGTCAAGAATGATGGAAAACAACCCCTCTGACCAAATGGGCAAAGCCTTTTGGGGGAGCAATTTGACACTATCTGTCAACTTTTTAAATGTACACGCCATTGAATTAACACATCCACTGCTCAGGAATGTTAGCTGCAATTTGATAAAGCAACAAAAACAGAAAACTCAATCACCTAAATGTCCACAAACAAGGACGAAATAAACATGAAAACTGACACTGTGCTTTGCTACACAAGAAATGTTCACAATGAACAGTGTTCTCGGTGAGGAGTAGAAACCAAGGATTGTGCATAGAGAACTGTTGTCATTTTATACTTTTCTGAGTTTTTTGTATTTTTTACTATACGCATGTATTATATTTACCATTAAAAACAGAAAATAGCCCTGGCCGGTTTGGCTCAGCAGTTAGAGCGTCGGCCTGTGGTCCTGAGAGACCCGGGTTTGGTTCCCGCTAAGGGCGCGTACCTCGGTTGCAGTTTGTCCCAGGTCCTGGTTGGTCGTGCGGGTGGCAGCCAGTCGATGTGTTCCTTTCACGTCAATGTTTCTCTCTCTCTCTCTGTTTCTCTCTCTCCCTCCCACTCTACCTGAACAAAAAAAAAAGGAAAAATGTCCTCGGGTGAGGATAAAAAAAAAAAACACGAAAATAAAGCTAAATTAGCACATGAGTACAGCAATTCCCTTCACACAAAAGGAGAGTATATAAGGGGGTGGAAAGGCAAGGTTTGTGTCTAAAGCCAGCAGCCTAGGATAGGAGGAAGTGCAGGCTGTGGGGCTCTGATACTGCCTCCGAGGCTTATCCCCCATCCGCACCAGCCCTCAGGGTGCATGTCCTTTCCAGAAAGGGGGATGACACGCCTCCCTCCTGGAGCACTGTGAGGACCAGGGGACAAGTGCCCAGCACAGTGCCCGAGGCACAACCAGTTCTACACCGAGCACAAGTGCCCTGATCTACATGCAAGGAGGCGGGCACATTCTGGAGTAGTTCAGAGACCAGCGATCTGACTCTGGTTCCACTTCTGGGGAAGAACTGCCTCCTAAATGTAAGATGACGGACATGAGCTCCACACAAGGGCGTCTGTGCAAATGAGGTGGGAAAATGTCAGACTCAGGGATTCAGAGCTGGAAGGGCCTTAGGCTGTCTAGTTTAGGGGTCTGTAAACTGGCCCGCAGGCCAAATCTAGCCTTCCACCTATCCCCGCCCCACACCACCTATTTTTGGAAACCCAGCCATACCCATTCACTTATATATGGTTAAGGGCTGCTTTCATGCTCAACAGCAGAGTTGAGTAGTTGCAACACAGACCTCGTAGTCCACAAAGCTAAAAACATTTCCTACCTGGCCCTTCACAGAAAAAGTCTGCCGACCGCCTGCCATACTTTCGCACTGAGGCCCAGGGGGGTGAGAGGACTTGCCCTGGGCCGTTCCTGGCACAGCTGGGAGTAAAACCAGATCTGCTGGCACCTAGAACAGCATTCTTTGTCTGATCTTGACCTATTATTGTTGTAAAATGATTTTTTTCTCGCCTACGCTTTAGCAGGAATCATGTTGCCTGCCAATCCCCAGATGCTACCCCTTCTATGAACCAAGAGAGAAAGTATCTCTAAAGTCAATGGAGCCCTGGCCGGTTTGGCTCAGCGGTTAGAGCATCAGCCTGCGGTCCTGAGAGACCCGGGTTCGGTTCCTGCTAAGGGCACGTACCTCGGTTGCAGTTTGTCCCTGGCCCTGGTTGGGTCGTGTGGGAGACGGCCACTCGATGTGTCCCTTTCACGTCGATGTTTCTCTCTTTCTCTCTCTCTCTCTCCCCCTCCCACTCCACCTGAACAAAAAAATGGAAAAATGTCCTCGGGTGAGGATAAAAATAAATAAATAAATAAATAAATAAATAAATAAATAAAGTTAATGGAAACTGATTATATTCCATGTGTCAAAATCCTATTTTCCCATGTTTTTCAGGAGCACACGGTGCCCCACGATCACACATGCACGCCCACAAAGGAGATGTCAGTGAGTGCTGGTGAAGGGTTACGGATTTGCCCACGATGGCGGGGCCTTCACGGAGGGTGCACACGTGGACATTAAGTCATCCGGCCTCGCTGTGGGGCTGTCTGTTGGAAATGATGGCGCTCTGGCACTAGGAGAAGTTGGGTAGGTAAGGCAGAGGGAAGGGAGGGGATGAAGTCAATGGGATCGTCAAGGGGAGGAGGCTGGGCATGGGGAACTGGCAGGGGATGTTCCGGATGTTATCTCGGGAGCGAAGGTGCTCACTGCAGCGGGAATGCTGGGCAGAGGCCTCTCCTGGGCTCCCATGTGCTCAGGACAGGAGGCCCCACTTTTCAGAAGCAGCAGCTGACTCCGGTTCATTGAGAAACTTGGGCCAACCAGGTGACCAAGGCTGCGGGGCCAGCCCTGTGCTGCTGTTCTAATACTGCAGCCAAGTGTGTCCCACAGCCAGGGGGGCACGAGGCCAGGGAGGAGGAGCTTTCCTTACCAAACCCCAACCTCGGTCTGATACCACACACAGATTAGAGTTCATTCCCCTGACAGCCCTCTGGCTGTTACAACCCTATGCTACAGACATGTAAAACAAGCAGCAGCAACTTAAGTAAACTGCCCACAGCTGGAGAGTAGCAGGTGCTAGAGGTGGGATTCGAACCCAGATCAGTCTGCCTCCACGATCCTTTTCCCACTATATCCCCTGCCTGGCTCTTACTGGACCTTCTAACAATGAAATCTTCACAGGAAAGAACCGCCTCAAGAGGGTGTGAGCTCCCCGGAGGGTTACGGGGGGTGAGGGGGGGGCTCTGCTCAATGGGTGCAGACGCCGCAGAGGGCACTGGTGCTCTGCTGCCTGGTGGCCCTTACCTGCTTCTCCAGCTGTGCCTCCAGCTGGCCGATGAGCTCATCTTTGCCCTGCACAGCTTTCAGCAATTCTTGGTACTTCCGGTGCAGGCTGCCTGCTGGGCCCACATTCTTCAGATTGGACAGTTTCACCTCTTCTTCCATCACACCCACCTGAAAAGGACCAATCGTCTCATAGGGTTGGGATGTGTTGTATGAAATGGCCACTAACATGGGAGGGGACGCTTCCTGATTCACCAGGCGGTGACTCCCAGGCAGATCCCTTATCCAGGGCAGTTGGGCCAATTAATTCAATGACCATTTAGTAAGCCTCATCTGGGGAAATAAAAGGAATCGACAAGGTGTTGGGCCCTCTGATTGTGGGGGCCCTGGCAGGGATGAGCTGGGCGAGACTAACAGCCCTGGAGAAGAACTGCTCAGACACCTGCTGCTCCCTGCATGTCCGTGTACTTGTGGACATTTCCAGCCTCCTGCAGTTAGATGGGTGTGGGACTCACTCCCGCCCTCGGGCCTGAGAGGAATGACACTACTTCTGGGCTCGAGCTTTTAAGAGCTGCTACACGAGTACCCAGCTCTCTTTCCCTACCATGGCAACCAAAGAGGCTGCATGTTCCAGACGGTCGGCGAGCAGGTGGGGCGCTCCATTAGCCTGGGTCCCCGAATCACTGTGTGAAGCAGAATCCCCGGCTCACCCCCAGTAGAGAGGTACCATGAGTGAGAACTGAACGTGATAAACTGCTGAGATGTCAGACTTAATTTGTTACCTCAGCATCACTATAAATTACTATCTGACACACAAAAAATCCCTTAAACCAAAAGATCAATGGGACGGTAATTTGCGACCCAAATGACACACATACAAAGGTCTAGTTTGAAATAAACAACTGAAAGGATATGAACAGAAAATCAAGAGAAAGAGAAAGGAAAGAAACCCATGAAAAGCTATTCCTGCTCAATCATAATTTTAAGAAATTTGATAACAACAAGATGTCATTTTCCTCTATCAGACTAATCCACTCACACACGCACTACACTGACCCTTAACCAAAGACTCACCCACGCCCACTGAAGGCTCCACGCGCCTTAGTTTGCTCAGCAGGCCTAATGCATGGCTGCTGGTTTTCCTTGTGCGTGTAAGTAGCTCATCAGCGTGATCAGTATGGCCACATGAGTGCACGGGAGGGGGCAGGAAAGGCCAGTGGTCGCTTCCCCGCACGCTTCTCGATCCCCTCCCCCGTTACCTGGGTCTCTGCATTCTCTGCTCTCTGCTCTGCCTCCTGCAGCCTCTGCTCCAGCTCCTGCATCTGCTCAACCGGAGACAAAAAGGACATGTAGGTGTGGTGTCCCCACCGTGCACAGGACGGCGAGGAAATGCAAGTGGACTGGGCAGACGCTCCTCCCGGCTGGCCCTGACCTGCCCAGCTCAAGTGGGCTCAAGGGGGTCAGGGCAAAGGTTTTTGGAGGAACACGTGGCTCTCATATCCTGAATTTATGGGAGCGGAAAGCCCATGGTGCTTCCCCTGCTGAGGGAGTAAAAGCCTCCTTCCTCCTTCCTCGCGTGAGGCACCGGGGAGGCCAGCAGCACGGGGTCCTTCTTCCTGAGGCGCTCCTGCCCCAGCCCGTCCCGCCTTCAGCTCCTCTCCCTGAGGCCTTCCTCCTCAGCACTGGGCGGCCGGCAGTGCCCTGCTCACCGCGCGCCCGCACGGACCCTGGTCCCGCACGAGCTCACTGCCTGTGGACAAATGCTCCCTCGCCCGCCCAGTGCGCCCCTGCCTGTGAGGGGCCTTCACAGACACCACCCTGTTAGATTTCTTCAGTCTTAAAGAAACAGAGGGGCTCAAGACACATTGCACAAATTCTAACTTGTTACCAGTAGAGACATGTCATTCAGGTCGGAGGAGGCTGGTCAGTCTGGAACCGTCAGCCAACTGGCCCAAGCACAGAGACCAGCGCTCTTACGCAGGGGGCCTGTCAGGGATCACAGAAGCTGAAGCCCGGCCCTCATGGCATCTCTGCAGCTTCGTGAACGTCAGAGGCAGTGGTGCGGCTGGATCTCAGCCCCCACCTGGCCCTGGTCAGGGCTCGGCTGTGCGCTGCCCCGACCACACACCATCGCTCAGAGGCCCTGCAGACGCAGAGCTGAGTCACACGTCCCACTCCCAAATGCGTCTCACTCCCAAACGTGACGTGCCAAGGCCTGGTCAAGTCAACTGCTCTCTCCCCACTCCACCCTGCCCCAGGGCAGCACATCTGCAGGAAACATACATCAGAGGCACAAAATCCCAGCCTCGTCCTCCAGGAGGCCAGACAGGCCTCGCCTTCCCAGCTCCAGCCCACCCTCGCCCGGCCCATCTCTGCGATGTGGCCTTTGCTCCAGCTACTCAACCTTCTCCTTGGCCTGGACCCTGACTTGATAGTCACCGTGAACGGAGCGATCCCTTCTCTTTCCCAGTCTCTCACCTTCTGAGCTGAAATTCTGCTTTCCCTCCGGGACTAGAGGATGGAAGAGGAGCTGAGGAACGTTACCCGGAAGTGGTTCACGCGTGAGAACCTGGGCCACCTCTTTCCTCAAGGCAGCTCTTCCTCATCTGTTTTTTCTCCTTTTGAGGACTAGGAGACACACATGCTTTCAGTACACATTCTTTGAAAGGCTCTGAGGTTCCTAAGTAAAAATTGATGTTTAAAACAAAATGGCCCTTGGGCCCCCAATGGACAGGACCTCCCGTGACAGGCATTCATCTACATCTCTTCCTTCCTCTCCTGGGTTTAATAATCATGCTCAAACCTCTCAACTCGAGCCTGAGGGGCAGGTGAGTTCTGGCCAGACACAGGCCTCAGAGCCAGATGACCTTTCCAAAACCAAATAGTCCTTGGACCGTCTTGCAGGAGCGCCCTGACCTTCAAACGCTGGCCTGCAGCTACAGGGAGGATAACAGCAGAGCGCACACCAGTATCATGGCTACCGGGTGGCTGCCCAGTGCACAAAGAACTCTGCTCGGTGGGGGGTGGTTGACACACAGTGGTGGCTCTCAGTGACCAGGTTAGTGCTCTATAACCCTCCCTCCTCTGATACCGGATCTGACTGAGCCAATCGGGTTCTCCCTCCCAGGATCTGAACTCCCCCAGAGAGCGGGGGGCTGCAGCAGAGAACATGCACCAGCTTCACCGCGTTATGAGCATCAGGGAGCTCCTCCAGTTCTGTGAGCTGTCCCAGGTTCTCCCGATACAGTCCGTTGGCTTAGCCAGCCAGAGTTGGAGTTTGGCCACGCCAGAAATATGTCTAAATCATGCAGTTACTGGGAGCATTTAAGAACACAATGGAGCCCTGGCCGGTTTGGCTCAGCGGTTAGAGCATCGGCCTGCGGTCCGGAGAGACCCGGGTTCGGTTCCCGCTAAGGGCACGTACTTCGGTTGCAGTTTGTCCCCGGCCCTGGTTGGTCGTGCGGTGGCAGCCACTCGATGTGTCCCTTTCACATCGATGTTTCTCTCTCTCTGTCTCTTCCTCTCTCTCCCTCCCACTCTATCTGTACAAAAAATGGAAAAATGTCCTCGGGTGAGGATAAAAAAAGAACACAATGGAATATTGAATGGGAAGGCTTTGGATTCTTCACAAGCCTCCTAGATTGACCATCAGCTGGATCTAACATTTGCTCCGCAGCTCAGAAGATGTAAGTTTTCCATAGGAAGTAATAATTTAATATTTTTTCTTTATTGATTTGAGACAGAGAGGAAGGGAGAGGGAGAGAGAGATAGAAACACTGATGAGAGAGAACATCGACTGGCCGCCTCCTGCAAGCCCCTCACTGGGGACTGGGCATGTGCCCTGACCGGGAATTGAACCAGCGACCTCTTGGTGCATGGGTCTATGCTCAACCGCTGAGCCACACCAGCCAGGCAGAAGTAATAATTTATGGGTGACCTTCTACAACGACTGATTGATATTTTCTCACTTCATCTGATGGAAAAACTTGTTTTCCCATTTTAGAAATGAAGAAACCAAGGTAGAGTGAAGCTCAGAATGCCTTTGAGTCCTACCTCCCAGCTAGACATTTCCATTTGGGTCAAGAGTGGCCAGTGACATTGGTCAGAGCCAGAAATCACTCCATTACTGACAACAGAATGAACATTTCCTCCCTCGAGATTTTACTATCCCTTTAAGGTATGCTATCATTGAAGCAGACAGAAAAGAAGGTCTCCCCCCACCGGGTCCTCATGGCTGCTGACCCTCCCAGCTGCTCTTATCCTCTCGGCAAGGGCACTTGAGATGCAAAGCATTCGGTGTCCACCTTCATGCTGGAGTATTCTTTTTCCTCTAAAACTAATTTCTGAATGTGAAAAACATTTGAACACCTAAAACTTTTTTTTATTCCTCACCCAAGGGATTTTTTCCCCATTTATCTTCAGATAGAGTGGGATGTGGGGGGAGAGAAACATCGACATGAGAGGGACACATCAACTGGTTGCCTCCCGCATGAACCTGACCAGGGCCAGGACCGAACCGCAACCAAGGTACGTGTCCTTGACCGGAACTGAACCCAAGACTCTGTGGTCCGTGGACCAATGCTCTAACCACCTAGCAAACCAGCCAGAGCTGAAACTTCTTTTAAACAAGAAGAGTATAAGGACCATCTATGTACCCATTACTGTAATCCAACTATTATGAACATCTTGCCGTCCCTGTTTAAAGGACATATTTTTAATATCATATTTCCCTCCATTTTTTATGAAAATACATTTCTCCATTGCCGCTAAAATAGTCTCAGGTGTGTCTGTGCTGGAATGTCTTCTCTCAGTCCCAGCATCAACACCCTTCACAACGGCAGAGCATTCTCTTTCACACTTGGTAAAGGCCATACCTGGAGCTCGGAGACACTGGAGCTTTGGGTGGGCCACCTCCCATTTGAGTACTGTTTCTCCTCTCAGAGGGTTCCTCAGGACTGTATCCTCAGCTGTCCTCTTAGTCTGTGGGCCAGGGGTGACCTGCCAGCCCCAGAGGTGTCAGGTTTAGGAGGCTGACTTTCAGGCAGGATCCACTTTCACCAGCTGCTACTCACACGAGATTCACAAGCTGCCTGAGAACTGGCTGCAGTGACCTATTGAAATGCACTCGGCACTGACCTGGTATTTAGTCCTTATGTCCGCAGCTCCCTGTAGCACTCGATGATGCTGTGAAATAGCCCTGTGGCAGCGGGGGTGGCGGGTGCCCTCCTGCACAGCTGGCACAGCCCGGCGTGCTGAGCAGTGGCCTGAGCCAAGAGCCATGCCATCCTGGGTCTTAGCTTCCCTTTGAAAAGGGGTTTGATGTCCTTAACACCGCCTTGCACCCACTGGAGAAAATGGTACAGGTAAGCACTATGGCTCTGGAACCCGACTGGCTCTGCCATGATGTGGCTTCAAATGCGTCCCCCTTAACCTCTCTGTGCCTGTTTCTTCACCAGTAAAAAGAGAGTTAACAAGTCTCTACCTCCCAGGGTTGTTGTTGAAGTTGACACAGGATGCCTCCATAAACTCCTGTGTACAACCTGGCACTTAGCGAGCAGTTTATACATAGAAGCTGCGTGTTGGTTTTTCACATACAAAGATGGCACTTACGACCGAGGACATCCGTTTGGCTAGGACAGTTTGTTCATGTGTCATCCAGAATAATTAGGTACCGGGCCTTCTTTCTCTCTCAAAAGTGTGCTGGTTTAGATGATAAATTGTATAGTCATCCTACCTAAGACCCATCCATAGAAAGAACAGCTTCAAGCCAGAGGTGGCTGGCGATTAGCCTACATGCCCTAGAAGACCTACAGTGCTGTGGGCAGTTAGCCCAGATAAACCGAAACAGGCCACTTCTGTGTGTCTGGCACTGGCTCACATCCTTCACGTGCATTAACTTGTTCAGTTTTCACCCCGATCCCAGGAGACAGGTACTATTATCCCTGTTGTACAGATAAGGAAACTGACTGGGGCAAGTAGGTAAGTTGCCCAAGCCACGCGGCTGAGGCAGAGCAGGGCTGACTCAGGAGGACTGGCTCCAGTCCACGGTGCTGTCAGCCACCGCGCTCGGCAGTCGCGGAAAAACCCAGATTCCACAGACAAGGCCTGACTTCAGCTTCTCCTGAAAACCCTGACGTGGACCCAGCAGGGTTACATTTTCTTACGGCAATGACCACTTCCTCCTGTAGCTATAGCACAGTCCCCCGAACTCTCCCCAGAATCCACTGTGTCACTTATCCAAGTTACTTGCAAGCATCTGAGTTTGCAAACCCCAGCTATCGAATGGTTCTAATTGTTGTAATAAAAAACAATGGTTTTTAAC